TCCTGGTCCCACTACTGAAGAATCATCCTGTTTCCTTGATGTGGAATCCAATTATTAAAATAATAAATTCATAATGAACAAATCTATATCGACCGGCTTAAGGAAGTAATAGAGAAATAGATGGGGGAGGAGAAGAGAAAAAAAGGGAAATAAATAAATAATAATAATAATACAATGGAAAAAAAAAAAATAACTGATGATGATTGTGATGGTAATGGTGATTGTAATAGCAATTAAGATAATAACTATAATGTTGTGGTTTATTATTATTTTTTTTTTTTTTTTTATTATTATTATTATTATTATTATTATTGTCCTTCTCTGCCAAAGCTGCAATGTACATTCAGAATTCAGTCAGAACTAGATTGGTATATAGTCGTCCTGCCTCTAATCGTCAGACATTTTACAGGTCATAAAACTTTAGTCTGCTCTGTCTGCGGTTCCTTCTCCCACACAACCCCCTATGTCCAAGAACTGCTCTGCAAGAACTGGCAAAATCTCAGCCGCAGTTAAAAATCTGTGCTAATTTCTGTAAGCCAGCCTCCAAAGCGACAGGTACTTTCTTCAGGATATATCTTCTGCATTAGTTTCAATGATAATTTGTACATTCTCTAACTGTAAATGTATGCATGCGTACATTTGTGTGCAGACAGCCACCCACGTTCTGTTTCCCAGGAGGCTCTATCTGGTAAAATCAGGGAAATAACATTAAGCATCCTTCAACTTCAGTGAACGTTCCAGCTCTCTCCAAAGCTCTGTCAAATCATCCTAACAGATGCTCTGTTAATTACCTTATCACCGGCTTAGTTCAAGGATTCCTAGCAGGTCTATGCGAATGTGAATGTGTTGGCTACCTGTTGTGAACCAAATTGCCCATTGGGGACATTAAAGACATTTCAATTCAATTCAATTCATTCAATTATGCTGGCTCCCAAAAGTGACCCATGTCTGTAAAAACCCAGAAGTAGTAGAGGATATTCTTTTTGAAAGAGGTTATTAAAGTATGTTAAAATCGCCCTTCTCCATCTTCCGAGTAAATCCATAGGTGTTGCCACAAGCAACAAAAAACAGAGAACGTCTCATCATTGTTTTCTCAGCTCCTCGCGATTCTTCCATTCCGACCACAAATGGCTTAATTTCTCAAGAGCCGTTTTACTTGTTCTATGCTTTTGTTGAATGCGCAGTACCCAGAGGTTTGTGTATAGCTGGGAAATGCAGACATTAGATAGTGTAAATGGTGTTCTAAATTATACTTTTCTGTTAAACTGACATTCGGTTGCCCCAGTGGCCCTTCTTGACAGAAGCTTTATGCTGGATTCTCTACACACTCTGTTTCATCTTGCATCTTTTAGATGATTATCTAGTAGTTGACTTTCCCTCGTCCCTGCCAGCCCGCAGTATCTCTACAGTCAGAAGCTTTTCCAGGAGTACGGCGTACCACTTTCAAAAGAGAACTGTAGGCCCTTCTACACGTTGGCATAACCCTTGATAGTGTGCTCATGCAAGCATCTCTGCAACAATTCAATTCAATTCAATTTTATTTGTATAGCGCCAATACATAACAGAAGTTATCTCAGGACACTTTTCAAATAGAGCAGGTCTAGACCGAACTCTTTATAACATTATTTACAGAGACCCAACAGTACCACCATGAGCAAGACCTTGGCAACAGCGGCAAGGAAAAACTTCCTTTTAAAGGGGAACTTGGCAACTCTAGCCATTTCTTCGCTGGTTTTCACTTTTGTCGTTGCATGTTTTCTCAACGAGCTCCCCCTACAGCTCTGGGACGTATATTTCACAAAACTGTCGTAAAAAAACTCACTTGCGGCACCCTCCTCCCCCTTTCTACCGCTGCTGATGTGCATTTGTTGCCAGGCAACTTTTTCGTGTGGAGCAATGTCTACCGAGGTGGGTAATAAATTATACACAGTATCAAAGAACATTGCGTTTATGTGGAATTCCCGTAAAGCAGTTTGTGTTTCTCGCTCATTCTCGCTTCTCACGATACTTCCTATTTCCAACTTAGTGGGATGGTAGTCCCAAAGTTGCAAGGTTGGTTTTCCGCCTGGGGACGCTAGGGGGAGCGGGGAAAGTCACCATTAAGACCGGAACAGGCCATTTAACCATTTAAATGATTTCTAAATGGGTTTATTAAGTTGAAATAGTTGCCAAATTCCCCTTTAAAAGGCAGAAACCTAGGATAGACCCCTCGGCTCTAGGTGGGTGGTCATCTGTCTTGACCAGTTGGGGTGAGAGAGAGAGAGAGAGAGAGAGAGAGTGACAGATAGAGAAACAGACAGACAGACAGACAGACAGACAGATAGGTGCACAGCAACAACAGTAGCAACAACTACACTAATAGTAGTGACTGAAGATGATGATGAACATGAAAAGACAAGCTGTCTCGCAGCAGAACAGCTATCAAATCTGGTCTGCTGCCTCCATTCTGTCTAGAAGATTTTCTCTAACTCGCTATGCACATTCTCCCTCAAGGTCGTCCATATCACACTTGCTGGTTTGGCTAAATCTGTTAAAATCTTAAAATAGTGCGTCTTAAGACAAAGGCTGTTGCTCAGATATGTGGTTCTAGTCTTTGCTATGTGATGATGGACTGGCATTTCTTTTTATAATGACTACGTGGAATCTGCAGATTCCCCCTAGTTTTGACTGATGTTTTGAAAAAACAAAGTCACTGTATAACCCTGGAAGATGGCAAACATGATAGTTTTGAGTATCAAACTATGCTAGCAGGGATTCAGCTTCACATTCGAAGATCCAGCATCCCAGAGTCTTCTGGGAAATCCTTCCATTCATTGCTCCTCAATGGCTTTAAAAGGCACATCCTCAAGGCAACGATAAGACTCCTCACACAATTCACTGGTGCATAAATTGGTTTTCACTTATATTGATGTAATCTTGGAAGAAGTTCTGTTAATGGCTTTTACGGGTTTCTCAGGTGTGAATATGCATGCCGATCTCACGTTTAATCCTAAGCATGATCTTCCCTTCTCTGATTTTTTTTTTTTTTTGCTTAGCAAGACTTAAGGAATATCGTCTGGCGCTGCAGTACTGAACTTGTGATCCAGTATTGTCTTCTGCATCATGTGAAATGCTGGTGTGCACCCGCTTTTGTCATCTGCTTCACATCAGCAATGCGCTTAGCTTGGGTAATGTTCACATTTGAACCGGTACCTGTACTCAACAGTACCTTTTTTTGGTACTTTATACTCTCTCTGTAAAAAGTAGTAAAAAATTTAATTTCAGTCCAAATTCCTCTTAATACTTAATCCTGTGATATTTCCCAGTAAACAGTATGCTATTCATGTACTGTTGGTTTCCTATTAAGGTAAAACACATCACACAAGGCTACATAATAATCATCATATTCATGTCAAGTTGATCAACACATTTGCCACCCTGCATACATCATAGCCATATTGGTAATCATGAGAACGTTTCGGAGCGTCAGGGTCACAGAGCTTCCCCGTTACCATAGTAACTCTTCATGCTACACTCTTCAGCTTCAGACAGATTTTGTGTTTGACAAGTTGTCTCTTCAGGAAAATACACTGAAGACTAGATTTAGTAATGCTTAGGATGCACAGTTCGGTTTGCTTTACAGTGACTGCAACGTGTGTCCCTCTAGCACAATAGGAGAATTGTTGATTATGTATTCCACAAGCTTCACTGAAGGCATTTTTGATTAAAAAAAAAGCTCTTCACCTCTGAAAAGCATTTGTAAAAACATTGACCCTGCTAAGGCGTAGTCAGGAGGGCCACTCCGCCATATTACCTCTGCCTCTCTAATTTTTATCAGCCTCACACTACTAAAAAAAAACAAACATGAGCAGTGAGATGATCCGTCAGTCTGGAAACAACCTCCAGGTCAGTCAAACTTATTTGGAACAGAAAATAAAGCAAACTGTCTGTTGTAAACATCCGTCACATTTTACAGACCCACTGCCAGCTTTAACTTTGATCTACTGTACTTACTGCAGTTTTCCTGGGCAATGAGAAATAATTTGTGTCATTTCAGACACTTTATTTCTCTTTGACTCTCTTTGGGCTTAAGAATGGTGTTGCTTGTCCCAGAGCCAGTAGATTTATGACAGCACAGCCCGATACCCGCTGCATTGGTCAAAACATCGTTTAAATGTCCAGTGTGAAACATGTCGGACGATCTGTCGGCAGAAATTGTACTTAATATTCATAGTGTATATGATACTATACATAATCACCTGAAAATAAGAATTGTTGTGCTTTTGTTACCTTAGAATGAGTCCACCATGTTGAACCACCATGTTTCTACAGTAGCCCAGGACAGACAAACCAAACACTGGCTCTAGATAGGGCCCTTCATGTTTTTCACGGCCACCATAGTTTTTCTGACACACTTCACAGCCCCTCTCATTCCCAGGTCATTTTACTGCATATTGATAACGGATATAGGACATGCTTGATAACACAACTGTAATCATGTTTATTGATATATTATTGCGCAAGTAAAACCTTAGTGTTTTTATAAGGCATTTGTAAACGGTTATATGTAGAAATCATTCACACGTGGTTTAAAACTGTTCAAAACTAATGAAGATATGTTGAGCTTGTTTGTACTTGACCCTGGAAATAATAGTTTATAGAGTTAAATAGAGGTAATTCTTTTTTCCTGCCTTTATTTGATTGCTGTTCATCTTGAGCTGTGCTGAGAGAGACAGATGCTGGACTTACCATGGCCACATCAGTGAGGTGTCAGCATTGGTACACAGGGCGCCAGCTCTACCAGGCGAGCTATCAGGGCATTACTTTTAGCTGCGTCTTACAGCACTTGAGCAGTAAATGGAAATAGAATATTGGAATAATGAAATATTTTGATTTCAAGTATTTACAGATAGATATTAGTTCCAAAAAATGTTCTCATCTCTGCAACTACATTTTAATTATAGTTGGTATACTACTAGAGTGTATGGCAGTGTGCTGTGAGGACAGGAAGAGGAAGAGAGCAGTCTGCATTCTGGTTTAATGGTAAATCCACATACCTTAATAGCGGGTCATACAGGTTTTGTTTTCCATGTAAAATCACATTATTTATTATGTAACAAAATAAAAGAGATCACTTTACAGTAGACTTGAAATAGAATTTGATCCAATCATCCAGGTGTTTGCTCAGAATGGTCTGATGAATATTGAACACAAAGTGGATGACAGTACAAATATAGTGTGACTACACAGAACAACAGACAAATGGTTAAATCCCTGTATAAACAAATTATTTACTCCAAATCAGCACCATGAAATACATTTAGTGGCAGTTTATGTACCAAACATACTGTATGTGCAACTAAAAAAAAAGTACAGTACGGGAATAATTAAGCATATTTGCTCTACATCGGCAAAAAAAGACTCATCAATAAAAGGCATGTTATTAAATAATCCTACAACATACAACAACAATAACTATGAACAAACAATGACAATAGGACCATCACTGACAATAAGCTGAATTCCACAATAGTGAAACAGGTCATAAGGTAGCACCATTCAGCCCCATGGAAAAGACTGAGGCCTTTATTGTTAACACACACACTGATGCATGTGAGCTCCAGGACTATGTGACCAGGCCCGACAGGGTGATAATGATATTTTTAATAGCAGCTGCTGGTGACAGATAATTAGTGCTGATATTATGTATTCAATGTTTGGCCATTTAAAAACAATTATTACTGGTTTACCCCCTGACTTTTACTTTCAGAGGGCACAAGCTTATAACAGGCTTTCAGAGCACTGAAGAATAAAGACCCCCGTTTCCATCTGGTATTAGAAAGTGACCTGTATCTGGATGTTATCTGCATAATGACATCCTGTCAAGGGGCTGTTGAAGTTACACCTGGTGTTAAATGAGTGCTTTCATTATCTCAATTGCCCCATCCTAAGTCCCGCCCCTTTTTGCTCCAATAGGAGCTGAGTAAGCCTCAGTCAACTTCCTCCTTTCCTGTACTTAGATATGCTATGTGCTAGGCTAATCTATGTTGAAAAGACAACCAGATGATATGTTAAAAGATAAAAGCGACAAACTGTCACATCTCAAGTTGAAAATAGAGCCAATTAGCTTTCCAATTTCCATCAGTTGTTATTGAACTAGTTTGTTGAAGATTTGGTGAGAAGGTAAAAAGCAAAATGCCAGTGAGTGGGCAGTGATCTGTTTGTGAGGGAGTGGAGTGAATGAAGGCTGTGAATACAATAAAACCTTTGTCTAGCTCATAATTACAATCTATCCATGTTTGTGTTACTCTATGGACAGTTGTTAGCTGGCTTCACTGTTATTGTTGTAACTAAACAGCTCTTCTTTTGGTGTTTTTTGTCAGTTACCAAGCAGTTTCTGAAGCATTACCACCAGCCTCTGGACTGGAGTCGATCCGGATTTGCACATAGCCAGGACAACCAAGACGGACAGTTATCAGATTAATTTTGGCAACGCATAGGATTTTATCCAGATACGAGACACTTGAAATGACAAGAAGATAGAAGAGGTTTATACTTGATTTGTTTATATGACTTAATTTTAGTTTATGTGCACTGGCTGGTTGGTCCTGCTACCAAGCAGGATCACAACAGCCCTGCTGTAGCAAAGCATGTGTTCATGGCTGGGGCACAGCGTAATGTAAGCAGGCTTTACCATGCCTGTAGTCAGCATGACGAGTACTGAAACAGCTAATGAAAGGTGTCCGTTCTCACTGCACATACTGACCTCCACCTACTTACAGGACTAACAGAACAAAACGAGATTTGGTGCACAATTGATAAATGAAAATTTAAATAAATCTTAAAGAGTAATATTGTTGGCAAGAAAATTTTAAATCCATCAATGGACTGTATCTGGAAACAAAACAACCATGTACCCTTGGAGAATATGTTTCTGCTTCCACCATTTTCTGCTACATGAGCTATCCACGGCCCTCAAACAGAGCTGTGGATCAGTGGGTCTCCTATCATTAGCTTGGTCGATTCACTGTAAACCTACAGTATTTTACCATGGCTCCTGATCAATACTTACACATTATTACGGTATACTTAATTAATACTTAAGTATCATCATTTTACTTATGTATAAACCTATTTACTAGTTTTTTGAAATTGCAACAGTTAGCTATAATACAGTACAACCGAGTAAAAGATACAAAGGAGAGCATAATTAAGGAAGAGGGAAAGCTCTGGCTGACTCATAATCCCATGTCATCTGATAGACCTGCCAGAAAGTCTACTTCAAAATCAAGCACTTATTTTCAATCATTCTGTGCAATAAAGCCGCCTTGAATGGCGTTCTAAAGGCTCCCCCAGTTTTTTTTTTTTTTTTTGGTGTACAGCAAAAGAAATATTGGACATTTTCAAGTCTTCATCAAAACTAGAAGCTTATGAGCCCATTTAAAATGTACACTTAATGTGTACTTGCCATTTTCTTACTTAAATACAAAAAAGTTCCATCAATAATAGAAATTGTTTTCTTATAACATTTAACAATATTAAAAAACATTTACAAAAAGGAGCGCTATTTGGAGGAAAGTAGGTGCATTTGGTCATTAGCTCTTGTGCAGTATTTTCTTGGCATAAAAGTCTCTACAGGTTTCACAGCAGCGCTGGTACCATCTCATGTCCTGACAGAGGTTCTTCTCTCGGATCACGCGACAGTACACTGTCCACTGGTCCCCCATGCATTTGTAGGTCAGAGCAGCTGGGGTTGGGGGTAGGAGAGAGGCAACAAGTCAGTATTCATAAATGACAAAATGCATGTTTTTAATTGTCTTCCAAAACAACCAATACTGGCGTATGGCCACTATGTGACAGAGTAGGTGAGAACACTATTGTTAGCTGAGTATTCCCCAATTAAGACAAGTTAACCATTTTAGATTTTTCTTTGTTTTTTTACTTTGTTGTATCACTTGTACAGGCCTGGAATCTACACTCTTTATGGCTGACTGAAGTGAAGAAATGACTCCTCTGCAAAACGTTACACCAAAGATAACTTTCTGAACGTCTCTGTAACATCTGGTTACAATATATTTGTGTGAGTAGGAGAAATCTTGTGCTACTGTTGATGTCCTGTGTGAAGACGGACACTGATAAATGTGACTTATTTGTTGTGTCACATGTAGTTTACTGAGGAAATCCCCATTTTTTTAAAGGGCACAGTGGCCTGTTCATAACAGGACATGTCAAAGCTGGCCATGTGTTTATGGGAAGTATGTAGTAGGCGTTCAGTACAGTCATGTCTAATGAATGGCTTATTTAGGCAGTTGCTGTTTGTCGGCATTATAGTTGTTTTTTGTCACTGATACAGTGAACACAAATTTACATTTAATTTATCTTTAAAATATCTGTTTTCAGTCACTATTGTACACATACATGTATATAAATAACTATTTTATTTTAAATGTTACATGTTATGATTTTAATTATGTGGTGTTCTGTGTAGCATGAAGGGACTGCAAACTTTCATTTTACTATACAACCTTGTGTTGTAAATACAATGCATTCAATTGATTCCTAGAATTCCTAGTTAAACAAGTAACTCGAACTTCAGACCTTGACCACTTGTGAATTCTGTTTGTGCCTTAGAGAAAATTTCAAATTTCATTCATTCTGCCAAATGAATGTCAAAGTGAGAGAAGAAATCTGTTGGTACAAGTTGTTCTTTCAGGCCAACTGCTTTTAGACATAGAAAGAATAAAATGTAAACCATGATGTAACAGTTTTGTTAGTACACACGGTACACCTTTGAAAGCCTCATGAGAGCTGGAGCTGATGAATGCTGTGAAAACATGCTTATTATTTCACTGTGTTTGGTCAGAGGTTTTCAGTTATGATCTGTACTCTCGCCAGTGAACAAGGCATCTTTAACCTTTCAATCTGACCTCAGAACAGAGTTGTGACAGGTGCCTCACCTAGCCTGGGGGAGGTGATGGTGTTCACATTGATTTTCTCGTTGCAGGTGCCATGGTGACAGGGTCGGTAGGTCGGTGGTCTGAGTGTCACCGGGCAGTCGTTGCCGTGACGACCAGTCACTTTGTGCATACACTGGACCACTCGCGACTGCAGGCCCTTCCCGCAGGATGACGAGCACTGAAAAAAACAATTGGAGTCACTTCTTACTCTCTTACTCGAAGTTGGGGTTGTAGTCAACACAGGAGGTTCTCATTTCAACTATACCTGTAAATCCCCCTGAAGACCACTGAATTGTCATTTTTGCATTTCTGCTTTTGTACAGGTTAAACAATCGAGATATGTGTTACTTAGTGATCTTAGGTGTTAATAGTTGTATTTTTGTACTTTGGACAGAGCCAGGCTAGCTGAGTTTTAGTAAAGTCTAAACTGTAAAGATGGAAAATACTATCAGATTGTTTATTTAAACAAGTAGGAATATTATTTTGGTGCCTATGGTTTCTGTAAAATGAACTGAAGGATTGAATCATGAAGAATCTAACCGACCTAATGATGTGTAGTGTGTCCATATTGACAAAAGTCTAAACATTTATATTTGTGTAGGAGATCTAGGCACTCTATTTCTAAGATGAAAATTAGCTTGTTAGCAAAGTGTAAACTGCAATGTTGACTATTGTGCATTGTCCCTGGTAAATAAATAAATAGAACTCGCTCATGCAAGTGACCCAGTGGGCTTTAAGATGTTATATTATTTTTGTCAAAACATGTTGCCACACTAGGCTAATAAAGGGAACCTGCTTCTAATTGAAGTTTTATGGTATACAAACATGGCAGCCCACAGTCTGATGCGTTTCCTGCAAGGGAAAGGATTGCATGGTCTACTGGCTTGCTGCCATTATTGTCTCTCTGGCAGACTGCAAGCTCACGAATGGGATCAGAAAACGTGTCTTTATATGAAAACACAAATTCTGATTGGGAATTACAACCGGTTGCAACTAAATCATACTTCTACAGCCCAGTGCTGCTTCAGGCGGAGTACATATTCTAGCAGTGTTACTGCTGATGAAATATCTTAGAAAGGGAGCTTAGGGTCTAATGCTGCCATGTTATGAGTCTTGTGCACCCTGTGCAGCAGTTTTTCACTCTGTATAGATGTCAGTCCGTGGTAGGTTGAGGCCAGGAGAAAACTGGAACATAAAGCCAATAATTTTTATTAGGTGCATGGAGCAGCTGGTAATCCTTAAAAATAAATAAAAAATGAAACAGCTGTGTGGTTTCTCCTGGTCTCACTGACCTGTTTCAAATTAGATATAACTTTGTCACTGCACAGAGTACAAGTACTGAAATGCAGTTAAGCATCTAACCAGAAGAAAGCAGTAAAGCACTTGCATATGTACAAAAGTATAAGGCTAAGAAAGTAAATTGCCAGTAGGGGATGGTTAAGAATATGTTAATATACTATAAAACTTCAATTAAAAGCAGGGTTCCAATTTGAAGCATGTCCTTTACTAAACTGGTGTGGCAACAGGTTTGGACATAAAGGCAGGTCTTAATTACCTAACCTGGTCTGGATTTTATAGAAGTTCTTTGGATGTATAAAACCTCTTGAAGCCCACCAGGTCGCCTGCTTCAGCGAGTTCTAAGCTGCTTTGATCGCCTACACAAATATAAATGTTTAAACTGTCAGTATGGACATGCTGTACATCATTAGATCAGTGAGATTCTCCACAATACAATCCTTCAGTTCATTTTAAGGAAACCATGAGCACCAAAGTATCAAATGAATGATTTGTAATTTTATACAAGTAATATTGCTACTGGTTTAAATAAACAATCTGATAGTATTTCCCATCTTTGCTGAGCAAGAGTCCAGGCCAGTCCCAAATAAAGGCCGGTTGAATTCAGTGATTGAAGCACATAAAGCTACATTTGCGTTTACACCTTCTTTACAGCTAGTATGCTCTAAATGCAGGGATTGATGCAATGATGACAGAGCAAAACCCAGAATAGGAAGCAGCTTCAACAAAAATCCCTGGCCACATCTGGCCACTTTTTAAACCAAAATCTAAAACAGAGAACAGTTCCATGATGAAAAACACTGATCTTTGCTTTGAAAGACTATTTTTCTAATCTCTGTAAGCACACTGAAGGATGTTGCAAATACTGTAAGTGAAAATGTAGTTAGCTATGCTAATTCTTAATGTGTAACATTCATCTTTGCTTCTATTTACCTAAATGTTGAGTAAATATGTATCTAACACATTTAAATAACGGTCATAGATACTAAATTTGGCACACTATATTTTTCATAAGCTTCTTAATCCAAATAATGGTTAAAAAAAAAAGTTGAATTATATAATAAAATTCTGATATGAATGAAAGTTGACTCCTGAAATTGACACTATCAGCTAAAGAGAAGTATCACTCTTTGTTACTACAACACTAGTGATTGTACAGTGGTTTTACACAGCGGTTAGGGTTAGACAGACATTGGTTGCAGAGTTTAACCAGAGAAGAACAAAAGCTTCATTTTAGTCTGCCATTGAAGTTAATTAGTGACAACTGATATAATCTGCCGCCGTCTACATTTTTAGCCAGCACTGACTAGCTGAATGTTTTGTGCAAAAAGAGAACAGTGTTCATGTGTTTGTCTGTAGAAGAGCACCTGCATTTCACCTGATTATACACTAATGAAAACATAGCTATGGATATTATATTTCATGACTGATTTCTGACAATAGATGCTTCTAAATGTTACACACTGGACTATTTCTATCATCATGAATGCCTTACAGGAGAGACTGTCTGAAGATTTACTTTCCACAAAAACACTTTTATAAGTTATTTGCACAACCCAACCCCTAGGGTCAGAAGTTACCAGTTCAGTTCAACAGAGGGCTTCAGTGACAGGTGAAGTAGAGTTTGGTGCCATCTGCAGTACCTGTTCTCAGCTGACAGGTTAGTGGAGGGGCTCAAAACATAGGTTCAGTTTCACAACTGTCACATATTTCAGCAAAACGGAAGGCTACAAACTGGTGTACATGTGACACAGTCTTTAGTGAACAGTGAACAGTTTGACGTATGCTACTTCAGTCAATTATCAGCTCTTCTGATCTGGCACAGAACGTATGATAACAGAAAAACTGAGCGAGAAGCAACAGAGCTAGACAGTGTTTAAATGGAACCATCTCCATGTTCCTCATTAACACTGCTTAATGGTGCAATGAGCTGAAGCTCGACCGCTTGTGGGGTGTTCCTGCTCTGCAGTGGTCAGTACGTATAAAAAGTGCTCCAAGGAAGGAAAAGAACCGGAGACAGGGTCATGGGGGGCCAAGGCTAATTGATGCACGTGGATAGCGAAGGCTTGCCCCTTGTTGTCCGATCCAACAGACAAGCTACTGTAGCTCAAATTGCTTCTGATAGAAAGGTGTCAGAACACAGTGCATCATGTTATAAGGAGTTCGGTCTAGACCTGCTCCATTTGAAAAGTGATAACTTCTGTTATGAATTGGCACTATACAAATAAAATTTAATTGAACTGAATCACAGTTTGTTGGTATGGGGCAGCAGAACATTCTGACCACCAGGGTGCCCAGGTGCTCACAATGTTATGGCTGATCGGTGTATAGTGTCATTCCCAGGTCCCATAATATCTGTATTTGGCAACAAGCAATCAACTTTTTCTTGGCTCTGATTGGTTGTTTTCGTTCAGGCCTGGTGGATTCTTGCAAATGCCATTAGGAGCACTAGGAGGAGGCAGAGGAACCTGATTTTCTTTTTCAGACTGTCTCATGTCATGAAATGAAATTTTAGGCAAATACGATAATATGATGATAGTTATTTTCATAAATTACCTACAGCAGCTTTAACCTGTAACCAAACACCCATTTCCATTTGTGAATGTTCATAGAATATCAATGAACTACATTCACTTTCAAGATTTTAAAACACAATGATTTTCAGGTTATTATACTTGAATGAAAACATCCCTATGAATATTATATTCCATTGTTGCCAATAGAGCATACTAAGTGTTACACACTGGAGCTTTAATAGTCTGACTCACTTGTAATTTTGCACAATTCAAACTAGTACAAGCCCTAATATTACCAGACAGGATTTAGATATTACGGCCACTATTGACCAGCAAAATTTCATCCAATTATTTCTATTCACCAGTTGACTTGTTGAATTGCCATAATTCATAATCCATTGAAACAGAAGTGTTCCAGCTTTACATGGCAGTGTAGAGTCACAAGGCTGCTGTAGCTACTTCAGTTTCTCTTGGTCAGACATGACTCTCCAGATCAAGAAATGTCATTAAAAGTTAATAATACTGTGATAGCAGCAGTGTAATGGAGCTCACGTTGCCTCAAAACAACTCATTTGCCAAGCATCATTACAGCCTCAAATGAGTTGAGCGGTTTCCCCACAGACACGAGGAAGTGATGATGAGAGAAGCACAAATAGAAACCACAGCAGTCTGACGGACAGTGGAGGCCCGAAGGTCAAAGAACTATTCTTGGGACTGTTGTTTGAATCTACTGACAGACTGGGAAATGCGCTTGGGTGTTTAATGTGAGCAATTGACTCATTCAACACTTTTGCACTTTATCCCATTTGGTAATAACAGTGATGCCCTGTTTTTTCATGGGACTCTTTCAACAGGCTGGTCAGGAGGAGGTCATGATTCCCTTAGTTTATTATTTTTTTTACCGGCTGAAACTAATATGTAGAAGAATTGTTAAACTGACAGAATAAACAGGGTTCCCACGTGTCCTGAAAACCCTGCAAACTTAGAGAGAGGTCTTCCAGTCATGGAAACACCTGGGAATAAATTAAAATGACCAAACATCCTGGAAATAATTTGTGTTGTCCTGGAAAACGTTTATTGTATTTTACCCCCTCACTCAGATCACCTACATAAACTATATTTAGTTTGAAACTCGACAGTTAGTAGCTGCTCGGTGTGACACTTTGCAGTGGGTTAACCAGATGTGAAATAGAACAGAAAAATTTGTTAAACTCTCCATTTTCATTTTGTCCTTGTCAATCTAGCCGTTCACACCAGATGCGGAGTGGATTGGATTTGCAGTGATCTTTTGTGCGTCGTAATGAACCTAAGACACTTCATCATTAAAAAAGGAGGAATAAAAGTTAAGGTCAATGCCAGGCCTACCGGTAAATTATGACTGTTTGAGCAAGTGCTGTCTTTCCTGGAAAATTTCCTGGAAAGGCGCAGTGAGTTTCCCAGAGCTGTATCTGAGTGAAACAGCGTAGTACAGAGTACAGTGGATATTTAAAAGGCACTGGTACACGTAGATCACATAATTTTATACTGATGGTGTAACAACTGCAGTTTGAATGAGACTGTATTTGAACACAGTAACATAAAGTGGGGTATAGTATGTCTCTTATCCAACATAAGTGGACAACAGGAGCCAGTGACAGGTGTCTGGACTGTCCAGATGCTGACAACATAACTGATTAATATGGGCAGGCAGGGGTGACTGACAGAGGAGGAGAGATGGAGAAGTTTCTGACAGAAGTAAAAAGAAAAACTGAGGAGGCGTCAGAGGCAAGAACAGCAAGTGACGGTAACCGGCATAAACCTATTAAGACCAGGAAATATGACGAAGCCTACATAGCCCTGGGTTTACCGTGAATACGGTCGGAAATGAGGAAAGACCTGTGTGTGTTTTATGTTTAAAAACTCTGACAGCGGACAGCATGAAACCACACAGACGGCACCTGGAGACCTTACACCCCAGATATGTCAATAAGCCACTGGACTTTTTTCAGTTCAGTTTTCGATGAGTATCGCCAACAGGCCGGTCATTTAGTGAGCGCGGCATCAGTAAATAAAAACACACACCGTAATACGCCTCGCTATGCAAAAACCATCACACCAGAGGAGCTGCAGCATTGGACATGGTCAAATCATAGGTGAGAAAAGTGTTGAGACACTGAATACTGTCCCTCTGTCCAATGACACGATCGGGAGACGTTTATTTGACATTTCAGACGACCTCCAAGAACAACTCACAGAACATCTAACAGACAAACGTTAAATATAAGTAATATTGTTGCAAATTTTGCAAAACAAAAATAAAACAATGTTAAAAAGTCATATACCTTTTTGAAAAGGAATAAGCTGATGAAGCTGACAAGTGACCAATGTTTACAGTTAAAAACGTTTTGAATGTTACTGTGTTAAGTCTATAAAAATGCACATCCCAGTGAATCATTTGCACTTTTTTCTCTGTTTAGAGAATCACACAGACTGAGCAGTCTTGTTTAAATGTTACAAATTGAGTTAATAAACTGAACTTGGAAATTGTTTTTAGTTGTTGCAGATGTTATCTCAGCTCATTTTATTAATCTATTGTGATAATCAGGTGATTGTATGCAGAATGCGGGTGCTCGCAACTCATACAGTGGTTTGTACAGATAAATAAATAAATATTATCATGTTCTCAATTGTATTAAAAATCAGGGGGGGGCGTGAAAAAATTTCTGTCCTCTAGGGGGGGTATGACAGAAAATAATTGAGAACCACTGCCTTAGAATGAGCTGTTTTTATCTACAGAGGGAGTGGGTCCTCTTCTGCAGAGTCCACCATGTTTCTACAGTAGCCCAGCATGGACAAACCAAACACTGGCACTAGATATGGTCTATTGACTTTTTGGAGAGTTTCATGGCCACCATAGTTTCTCCTACATGCTTAGAATATGAGCCGTTAGATGTTAGATGTCACTAAATAGTTTTATTACATCTTTGATCTTATTTTCATCAGCCTCACATTGCTAAAAACAAACAAACACCAGCATTCAGATAAGCAGACAGTCTGGAAACAACCTCCAGATTAGTCAAACTTATTTGGAACACAAAACAAAGCAAACAGTGAAATTATAACCATAAACATCTATCACAGTTTACAGACCCACTGCCAGTTTTAACTTTGACCTACTGTACTTACTGCAGTTTTCCTGTGTAATGAGGGGTCATAATTGTCATTTCAGACGCCTCAGTTTCTGTTTGACCTCCAAATAAATTGGTTTAGGTTATCTGGTTAAACTGTTGGTTTATTTCTAACCCGTCTTATCATCTGATGGTTCGTCTTTCTTTACCTGTTGGACTTTTTAGTGATGTTTTAGTATTCTCTGATTTCAGCAGTTACTTTAGTCACTACATAAGTGTTCATGGAAATGATTAATGCTAGCCTGCTAACCTTAATTATGTCTCAACCATATGTGAACCGCGGGTTTGAAGACAGTCCTACCTTTGACCAGTCTCCAGTCTTCCACTCGTAACATTTGGAGTGGTCCTCACAGGGCTCCTCCTGAGTGGGCTGGGACAGAGGATCACAAAGACCTTGAGGGTTTGTACACGTCACTGTCCTTCCACGAACACCTTGACCACAGTCTGATGAACACTGGAGGAAGTGATGGAAGAATAAGGATATATAGAAATGAGTGAAAAACAGAACTAGAATTGTGTACAGAATGAGTTATTCTATATTCTATATACTCTTTATAACTATATTATCATTATGTCTCTTCGGGGAGGGGGTACCCTTTTATTTGAATAGGGACAGTGCACAATAAGACATTAACCCTGTATAAAACAAGGAGAGATGCATTGCACCGGGTTTTAGCAAGTTGCTATTTCCACCCGTAGTCCCTGGGCAGGTAGATGGAACATACAATAAATTAAAAACAGTTACTAAATTCACAGTTGTACAAAATTTCAATTACAAAGTTAAGAATACACGCATTCCCACATCATTAAAACAATTTAAAACAATTTACTCCCCTCCCGCCAACTTTTATAGATAAATATGCCCCCCCCCCATCAAATACACACACACACACACACACACACACACACACACACACACACACACACACACACACACACACAAATTCCTACAAGTTTGCTGTTACAGCATCCAACGTTTTGTGTGAAATGAAAATGTTTTAAAATCCGCACATGTAATCAGCTCTGTTGGAAGTGTCTTCCATTGATTTGTGGCAACAAATGAAAAAGACGATTTACCAAATGAAGTCCTGAGTTTAGGAATACTGCACTCTCCCCTGGTAACTGATCGGGTAGCTCTTGTTGTTTTTTCTGAGCAGAGTGTAACCATTTTTTTCAAAGGAGGAGCAGTAGCATTATGAATGATTTTAAACAGTAGGCATACATTTGTGTGCATTATTAGATTTTCAAGATTTAAAATGCTATATTTGGTGAGTATATGACAGTGATGATATTGACGTGTTTTTTTGTCTTGAATCTTAAGGGCACTTTTATATAATGATTCAAGTGGTTTTAAGGCTGTTTTACATGCCTGAGACCAACTTGTCATGCAATAGAAAAGATGTGGGAGAATCATTGCATTTAAATATGTATGTGATGCTTCAACAGTAAGAGAGTTTCTTATGTGTCTGTAGTTTATGAGGTTAAATTGCAGTGTGTTACTCAGCTTTTTAACATGATTTTTAAAAGCAAGAGTTTGATCAAGGGTAACCCCTAAATATTTGAATTCATTCACAATTTAGATTTTTTGCCCATTTACTAAGATTTCAGGACAATCCCTGAGTTTGCTCCTATTTGTAAAGAACATGGTTACAGTCTTTTCAACGTTTAAGGTCAAACAGGAGTTATTTAGCTATTCAACAACCTTCTGCATTTCCTTAGTTAATTTCATTGCAACCTCAGTTGTATTTTTTCCGTGAGTATATAACACAGTATCGTCAGCATACATTATTTTTTCGACATCATTACACACAGATAGGAGGTCGTTAATATATATGCTGAAAAGCAACGGCCCTAGAGTATTGTTCACCCGCACACACTGATGTTGGCCACTCAGGTAAGATTTTATCCAATTTTGTGTGTCTATGGAAAGGTCATAATTTGCCAGTTTGTTTAATAGTATGTCATGAATAACCGTGTCAAAAGCCTTGCACAAATCAAGAAAAACTGCTCCAACCACTCCTCCCTGATCTAGGTATGTTTTAGTTACTTCAAGGAAGTAGCAGCATGCTGTTTCTGTTGAATGTTTTTTCCTAAAGCCAAACTGCATAGGATGTAAAAAAGCCCCAACCTTTTCAATGACCTTTGAAATGGCTAAATACCAATCACATTCTGAAATCTACAGCATAACCCAATGTAGTTTTATAAAAATTCCAGGGTTTCCCGCAGCACTTTGCATCTAAGGCGGCCGCCTTAACAACACACGCCTGCCGCCTTAACTACGTCGTCAAAAAAATAAAAAATAAAAAGTAGGCCGAGTGATATGAGCGATGTCCGCTGTGTTACTCTATCCAGTTTTCTCCTTTTCATTCCAAACCGTGACCAATGCCAGTCTCCTTTCTCCGCAGAACGCATTGAAAAAATTATGAAAAACGTGCCATGAATCGGATAATAATCAGTTTTTATAATCTTTAAATATGTGATATGCCTCCAAATCGTTGGATGCATCCGAACAGCAGCATCTGGTGGTTGTCATCGTGCTATCTATCATCGTTCGCCAAACATTCTACAACATTCTTTGTCCGGGTAAAAAGAAAAGAAATTTGGGTGAAGACGTTCATCTGGCATTTGGATAGCCTGTCGCATTGAGGTAAGATAATTATTCTAAATTATCTAAATTCTATAAATACTTGAATAACTTGTACACTGTTCGCTCAAAGTATCTGAAATTATTATGATAGGCGTAATGTTTTCTTATCAAGGCTAGTTGCGTTTACACGTGGTTGTCTTATAGCTATACCTTTGATGATTGCACATGATTTTCTCTCGCATTGTACACAGCCAAATGGACAGAAAAACGCAACCCGGTCTGATGGCCTACCACCTTGACTAACACATTTCCTGCGGGAAACCCTGAATTCCATCTAAAAACAACATGTTACAGGCTAAGAGAACCATGTATATTGGATAGTAATGTGCATGGAATAATGAAACTATACATGACTTTCCTTTGTTTTGTTATTGACATTATACATCCGCCACCCTGCTCTCTAAATGTCAGCATTGCCCACTGAAAAACACACAGAGGCACTGGTTGACATATATGTACAATTACTTTCATTTGTTTTGACTTGATTGCAATAACTATTCACACTGAAACACCTCCATGCCTGCATTTTCATTTAAGGAGCTAAGAGGAATTAACAATACTTGAAGGAAGATGTAGACCTAGAGAAGGAATACTCACCTTTTTTTGTGAAAAAAAAAAAAAAAATACCTCTATTTGATAACGTGTATTAGGGATCCCATTTTTAATTCAAAAGTCTCTATACTGTAGATTGGCAGATTACCTGTGTCATTTTATACATTCTCTCATTGGGCTAACTTCTAGTCAATAAAATAGTGAAATTAAAATATTCACAGTTTTTCTGGGGACCCCCTCAAGGACCCCTGTGGGTCCCCAAAGCCTCCAAAAAATGTTTCTAATGAAAATTTCTAAATACAAGACAGTGATGTTAACTAAAATATGCAACCTTGTTTTTACCTCAACAAGCCATAAAATGTTTCCTGAGTCAAAACACAGCTGCTTAGTAGCTTAAGTTGGGTTAAGTAACCTAGAGCCGAAGGATCTGTCCTAGGTTTCTGCCTTTTAACAGACAGTTTTTCCTTTCCTTTAGTGCTTGCTCATGGTGGTACTGTTGGGTCTCTGTAATTAATGTTAAAGAGTTCGGTCTAGACCTGCTCTATTTGAAAAGTGTCCTGAGATAACTTCTGTTATGAATTGGCGCTATACAAATAAAATTGAATTGAATTGAAATTGAATTGAATTAAGGTTGACCCTAAAATCCATCCTGCAAACATTCTTAAACTGAGGAGGTGTTTCTCAAAAGCATAACCATTTAAGACCATCACACTAGTTTATTCCCATGCTTGGTGGTACCAACCCCTGCTCTATCTTCCAGATCCACCAGAGATGGTTAATAGTGCACATGAGACCTCCCTCTTGAGCTCTTAGAATTTAAAATGGTAAATGGACTGTACTTATATAGTGCCTTTCTAGTCTTTCGACCACTCAATGAGCAAGGTGTATGACAAGGTGCAAACAGAAACTATTTGGGACACAACGCTCCTCACATCTAGGGCCAGAGCAATCAAACATGACATCAGCACAGTGTGTGTGTGACGTACTTTGGACCACTCTGAAGCTTCCCACACAGTAAGGCAGAGGCGGCCCTCGCAGCCCTGCAGAGGAGGAGGTTTCCCTCCTTGGCAGTACAGGTCCCTGGTGTGGATGAGTGAGCCGTTCTGTAGGTGGTAAACACAAACCACCTCCCTCTGTTGTAGACCTTTACCACATGTGACGGAGCAGGATCCCCACTCTCCTGTCACCCACCTGTGAAAAACATGTATGTTAATAATGTTTACAGACAGTTCAAAACCTACAGTCCATTTGCTATGTGTCTGAATCTTAGGTTAGTTAGTCTTAGACAGCTATGTGCAGTCTCCTCCTGCTCTCTGCGATCACCGTCACTGTGTTGTAATGCAGCCAAATTCACAATGGTTGTTCTCATTTACATATTTATGTGATTATGTTGTCTTACAAAGGAACGAAATAGTAATTTAATCACAACTCATAAATACTAGCTGTTGATCAGCAGTCATTTCCAAGCTGCTGCACTGCAGGGGCTGATAAAATCATTCTTTTATAATTACGGGTTAATGACAACAGCTGTGCTGTGTATTCGGCTATATTGGCATTTAAAATGAGTGATCACAGAGGAGGTTTGAGGTGACAGAACGTTCTTAAAAGGTCCAGTGTGCAACATTTAGGATGATCTGTTGTCATAAATGGAATATGATATTCATAGGTATGTTTTTATTAGTGTATAATCACCTGAATATAAGAATCATTGTCATTACCTTAGAATGAGCCGGTTATCTACAGAGGGACTCTTCCATGTTAAACCACCATACTTCTAAAGTAACTAAGAACGGACAAACCAAACACTGACTCTAACACTTTGAAGGCTGATCTGTATTCAAATGGTGGCAATCTGCCACTTCACAGCTAGATGGCACAAAATACTACACACTGGTCCTTTAACTTTACTGGCATACAGCCACTGACCCTCACTGGGTAGCTTTCATCATCGTTCTGTAAAAGCTGTTTTCCCCGTACACACTGAAACACACTGCTGGCATTTATACACTGCTTTGGGGGAGAAAGCAGTTTGCAGTTTTAATCTGTACGGAGGGCTCAAAAAGATGCATCTACAAAATTGACCAGCTTTGTGTGGACACTTTTTAAAGCATAAACTTATAGAGGACATTTTAAAACAAAAAGTATAAGGATGATGATTTACATACATGTAGAGCTAACATAATGCAGGGATAATATCTGCTTAACATTTTCAACTTTTGTATTACACCACTTATTCTGAGAATAATGACATGTGGCATGACAACCTAAGACATATTGCAATTATGCCATAAGCCTCTGCAAAAGTGCAAACTCTGCAAAATAATAATGCCCAAATCTGGAAAAGCATTCCACTGTGTTTTTCCCACCAAATTAGCTCTGGTTCTTGAACCGGTTCTAGTCAATATTGTTGGAACCTTGATGCTATCTAATGAAACAGCCCAAGTTTTGAGCGAAACCATAGTAACCAGATGCATCATCAACAGAGTGCAAACCTGCTATTTTTTGGTTCCAGCTGGGAACCAACTTTTCAGGTTCTGGACCAATTTATTTTTGGTCGAAATGCTCCAAACGGTTCAAAAGTAGGTTTTCCACTGGAACCGAAGTGGGTGTGGCATATTCTACAGGTCATTGTGCATTGTCCAGCGCCCTCTGTTGATGACGCATGTGATTACAGTGGTTCCGCTTATAACTGGTGGAAGCTAGATAACACCAAGGTTCCAAGAATCTTGAACGGAACCGGTTCAAGATCCAGAGCTAATTTGGTGGATGGACACCTTTAATGACCTCAAGCCTTCAAACACAGCCATTCCTGTACAATGATATCAGAGATACATATAGACTCATATGGGTAGCAAAATGGCAAGAATGTGTGCTTTAAAACATTATATAAAATTGATAAAAATAAAACTGCTGAACAAGGAATCACTGAAGGGTAGCTAAAAATCAAATAAGTTCCAATGCATACTTGTGATCAGATATAATCTAACATGGTTTGATTAAAGGAAAAATTTATTAATCCTAGTTTTAGAGAATGATCCTAATTCTCCAATTTTTTTTCAATTGCCACATCTGTCTTATGGCCGCTTAACTGAAGTCTACAAGCAACCAGCAGCTACAAAGTGTGTGTGGGTTTGTGTCTCACCGGTACTGGCAGGGGTGAGAGTTGCAGGGTCGTACTTGGGGGTGTGGTCGGTTCTCCGGTTGACAGTAGCTACTGTTGACCACCTCCATAGTTTTATTGGCTATCCTCATACAGGAAACCACCGTCCTCCTCTCACCTGCACGCACACACACACACACACCATAAATAACTCAGTGCTCCAATGTTCTGAGGGGTTTTGGAACGTCCAGGAAAGAGCAGTTTGTACGGTAATTAACTGACTGAATGTGTCATCGTCTGAATCAGGCAGAGGTTCTGATGTAGGGGATGGTGGGACTGGCTGACAGAGCACACCTGTGGGTATTTAACTTTCAGAAGGGGATTGCAAGTGCCTCTGGGTTTTTTTTAGGGTAAAACCATATTTCACACTTTGTCTATTATGATGAGACTCTGAGTACACACTTCTGGGATTCATAGCGTTCTGAAAACTGAGGCTTGATAAGGATGATCTCATTATGGTTGCTTTGAAAAACAACTTTATATTAGTAACAGTGAGAACCGTAAAGAAAAACCACACTGACTACAGCGTGGAGACTTTTTTTTTGGGGGGGGGGCTTTTATTGCCTTTATGATAGTGACAGCCGAAGACAGACAGGAAAGGGGGGCAGAGAGAGGGGATGACACGCAGCAAAAGTCGCAGGTCGGATTCAAACCCTGGGCCACTGCAGCAAGGACTCATCCTCGGTACATGGGTCGCCAGCTCTACCCACTGAGCTACAGCGAGGAGACTTTAAGCTTGGCCCAGTAATTCAGCAAAATAGATGCATCAAGGAACACAGACTGAGAAACAATCTGCATCCTGATCCCTGCTTAGAAAACCCCAGAAATTCTTCATTTTTTTCAGAGCTGCTGGGTTGAGCTGCTTACCATTTTTCAGGACATGCTAATACTCACTGTTAAGGAGCGACAGAGAAGAAGTAGATTATGCTGTAGGTTTAAAGAGTCTTTCTTGCTATAAAAACACTATTAGAACCCATTTTAAGCAACAGATGTAAGCTGACCACAGTCCGTTTCCTTCAAGCTTGAATAGGCAATATAAGTTCAATATTCAGTTAATTTTAAGGAAACCAAAATATTGACTGATTTGTAACCGAAATGTTATTCAATAGCCAAAAGTAATAGTAAGTTTTATGCAAAAGGATTAAAGGCTTGTCCCAAATAAATGCAGGTTGAGTTCAGTGATTAAAGCAAATAAAAGCCTGGGGTATTCATTTAAGTTGTACGGTATAAGTCATAATGTATTTTATAAATGTTGGAAAAGGCTTACAAGGTATGTATTCAGTGTACATTGAAAATAGGGCAACATTGGTGTGCATATTTCTGTGTTTCTTGTAAAGACTGTCCTCACCAGAAAAACTTCAGCATTGGTTCCCTTGTAAAGTCAGTTTACATACTATGATGTATGCTCTAGATGTCAAACCAAACATCTACATGGGATCTCAAGCAGATAGATGAACTCTGATCCGCCATTAAAACGAGATAAGCTGAACAGGGGTGGGCTTACTCCTACTCCTTAGCTGCTTCACTGACTGCTAATCCAGGAGCACCTGACCTCGTCTCCTGGATAAAAGCAGTGGACTGCAACATCAAAGTGCTCTCTTCACATGTACTTTGAAATATTTTGAGCGCTGGATACCAATATTACAAAGCAATAAGAGGATAAGATGATGTGCTCAGGAAATCAGCAGTGGGGTGCCTGACAATTAGGATTGTCCTGTGTGTGTGTGTGTGTGTGTGTGTGTGTGTGTGTGTGTGTGTGTGTGTGTGTGTGTGTGTGTGTGTGCGAGAGGGGGGGGGTTACACAGTGGGAAGCCTGCTCTGTCTAATGTGCTGTTGACCATTGGCTCGGATTAGCCACTGGTCTTTCCAGACTCCCTGCCATCCTCCCCCCTTTGACTCCAGACGTGGCTCCAGTCTGCCCAGTTTATCCACAGCAGCAAATCAGCCTTCATTTTCCCATTTTAATATTTTACTACTAAAAATATAAGAGCTTTCAGAGGATTACCTGGACTATGACATGACATGAATTTCCTTCTTACTGTTAGGTAGACCTTTCTAGGACCCCATTTTGCCCCTGGAACTGACTGGAGGCCGATTTCTCTGTGGCATGGATTCAACAGGTTTCTGAAAACATTCCTTGCAGTTTCTGGTCCATGTTGACATGACAGCCTCATGCAGTTGGTGCAGATCTGTCTGCTGCAACGTTCACCAAGCTGCAAATCACCTGCTTTACCTCATCCCACAGGTGCTCTATTAGACTGACAGCTGGTGGCTGTTGAGGCCTCATGACACATTTTTTAAACTTTTTTGAAACTATGCTTGTTTGGTATTAAGGGGCCTAATGTGTGCTCACGCTATGAGCAGCAGCGTGAAGCATTGACGTAGTGCAGGATGGATCCAAGTATTTAGGCCACATTCTGACCCTACAGATGCAGCTGTCTAGAATTGACTGTTGGTCCATGACAGGCCCTTGCCTATCTGACAGGAATGAATGGATATATCGGTCTGGCAGCTGTCTGGAGGCAGCAATTCTGTGTGGCTGGTACAGTACCATCTGCACATGGCAGCAGAAATTGCATCATGCTCTGTAAACTCTAGACGCTATTTTGAGTGAAACTCCCAGAAGATCCATGGTTTCTGACCACAACGTCTGGCATCAATGATCGTTACACGGTCCAAGTTCTATTAGATTTCTTCACTATTTTGATGTTTTGTGTAAAAACCACCTGAACCTCTTAAACATTCTTGACATTTCTTCAGTTTCATACACAGGAGTCATACTGACTGGAATACTGATTCTGAGGTACAGCAGTGATGCTAGATGAAGCAACTGTTGTGTAATGTGTTGCAATAATGATTCAAACACATGGAAATATATTGATTGGAATTACTAACGGTGAAAATAATCTTTATAAAAGGATATCTGCCTATGATTGCAGAATCTGTAGCCAAGGGACTATGATTTTAGAGGAAGTTAACAGTCTGTGTGAAGAGCAAAAGAGGTGGAACGACAGAGAATAAGACAATAATTTAGCTTATTTTTTAGCATACATATGCAGATATACAGTATGTAGGTATGGAATTGATAAGATTTTATTGATACCAGTGCCATTGTCAATTCTTTATTGGTCCAGTTCTTTATTGATTTCCTTATTGCTTGCTGATCAATTTTCTGTGTTGGAAAAAAGTAGGTGTACCCAGGTTTTCAGCATTGGTGCACCTGTATTATCTGTGAGTCTGAACACAGTGTAGAAACAGGTTAGAAAAACGGTTGTAGCCTGAGAGCTTACTGTAGCAACAGTCTGTGTGTCATCGTCTAAAATGGATGAAATGAGAATATTTGTGAAGCATTTGTTTTCCTTTAGGTTTTCTTAGCCAAAGAAAACAATCTGAAAACAATCTTTTGCAATCCAACTGTCAGAAAAACATATCGCCATTGATAAAGGATGGATCGGGCTATTTGGAATCTCAATTCCCATCCATTGATTTATGTTTATAGAGATTAGCCAAAATGTGTCTCTCTTTAACCAGGAGACGAGGTCAGGTGCTTCTGGATTAGTAGTGAGGCAGCTGGGGTTAAACCCACCACAGTTTAGTTTATCTCTTTTTTTAATGGTGGATTAGAGTTGATCTATCTTCTGCTGGAGATCCTCTGTAGCTCCAGAGCGCGCATCATTGAGAGTAATGTCAAACTGATCGGGTTCTCTAGAGACACAACTGACTCAACAGGGAAGCCAATGCTTCTATTAGGATCCTTATTTTATAACGACAACCAGACCCGGTGATTCTGACGGCCGTATCTTTTGAGATTAACAAAACTAATCGTTAGATGAGGTAAATCTCTATTTGAGAAAATAAAAGTGAATTTGAGGAGACAGAGAAAGTGCCATTGTTCTGTTTCCTACACTGAGGCTTTAAAAACATCAGATGTTGATGATGTGCAGTATAATTATCAGGCTACTCAGGCAGCAGGAACTGTGGTAGGAACAAGGTTTTCTTGCTCTTATTTTGATTTAACTGTTGTTATATTTTTATAGTATTTAATGTTACATTTATTCTATCTCCAGTGTCATTTATGTTAGCATTTTTCTATTTCTTGGCTTTGCTTTACTCGATTGCTGCCAACCAAAGTTCCCTCTCTGGGATAATACAGAGCTCTTGACTCTCAGCACTGTCTCATGTTCTGTCAAGTCAGGTCAGGTGTATTTGTAAAACCCAACATCACATACAGTGTCTAATGTTTCCTGACTCCGTCTGATCTCTCTAAAAAAAACAAGGATAAAGCATCAACACACATGGCGGAAACCTTGGCTGAGGCAGAGAGAAATAAACCAGATGACATTTTCAAAAACATTTTCATTGCTGTCACCTAACATGACTTCACTATTGAGACAACCTAATTTCCCCACAGAGAGTACAGTATGATGTGATGATATGTGTGTGCAACCATGAGTGATAGTTTGATGGTGTGTTACCTCCTCCGCATTGGACAGTACAGTCCTGCCAGCTGCTGTGTGTCCAGATGTAGAGATACTCTGGTTCTTTCTGCTCCTCACTGCTCCTGTCCTGAGTCGTGTTCAGAGACACTGTGTACTCATAGTGGATTCCGTAGCTCTGGTCATGGAAGAGCAGCACCTGGGGACACGACAGAGAGGGGCTTCAAGAAAAAGAAGTGGGGCCTAAATCTTACAAACCTCCACCGCAGTTTGCCTGCTTCTGTAGAACAAAGTTACTTTGCAACTAAACCCCTAAATTCTAATAGCTATCTCCTTCCCAGCAAATGTAAAAAATGCAGCAGAGTCAATCAAATAAGGGACATGGCCATGTGGCTCTGGAGTGTGTGACGCAGGAGGTAACACCAACCAGAGCAACAGACTGACCACAGAGTACAACGGCCGGTACTAACTAAGCTAACCAGCCATGAGTAACTGCTGCCAGACTCTCCATGTCTGTCCAGAGTCGACTGGAGCACATTTACGGCCGTTTGTAAAGGTTTCTGCTCAGTACTTATGTTGTACAGTTGGCTAAGCTATGTTAGCTAGGCTAGCGGCTCATTGCTAATGGAGCGAACCAGCAGCTGCTGTCAGACGCTTCATGTGTGTCCACTGGAGCTTTTACAGTCACTTGAAGCACATTTCTGCTCGTTTCTGTGCGGTACTTATGTTGTACAGTTGGCTAAGCTAGCGCCTCAGAGAGGTTAACTCTCCGGTGTCTGTGGTCTGAGTGTCACGCTAACGGCTACACAGCTGGCCACAGTCACAGAGTGGAGATGTTGTTGTCTTATACAAGCAGTGGTTGTAGCAGACTTTACTGTACTAAATAAACCTAGCCAAGGTTACAGTAGCTCTATCCACTTATACAGTAAATCGACATTTAAAGGGTCAGCCCGCTCGAGGCGTGCCATGACGCCATTGTGTTTACGGCCTCTCAGCAGGGGACAGCCGCACTGCTTGCTTGGGAGCAGTGCCGACCTGTGACCTCCCCTCTCCTTAGCGGAGTCCCTTTAGCTGGAGTCTACAGAGAAAGCTCGGTTTTTTCTCTCCATGTTCAGCCCTCAGAACATTTGTAGCTTCGACCTGAATCTCTGTGGTTGGAGTTAAGTTTCACTCCTGTGTTCCTGTCTGTACTTGCAGCTTGATTTTACTGCTCACTGATTATTGTCCTGTGAAGTTACTGCTGGTGCAAACTGAACCTTTCCTGCTGCTTTACATTAGAACCCCCCAAAAACTGCAGTAGATTTATTTTAACCTGCTTCCAATACAAAGCCATTTGTCTAAGAATTGTTCTAGAAGGGAGTGTATCCTGGAACTAAACAGAATAAGACTTATTACGCACAAACTGTCGGGCCAGGGTCCATTTCCAGCCCTCCATCCCCATCCCATGATGATAACAAATAAAATCAATAAAATGACCTGCAAGATTATTATCATTATTTTTGATGATATAAAATGATTATATAAAATGTATAGAAGCTGCTGTTTGCATTTTGTTGTTAAGTATGATTGTATTTTTGCTGTGTTTAAATTTGAACTGGAAGGAGGTTTAGTTAGGACTCCACTCAATGTAGTATTTTATGAATAAGTAAGCTCAGTGTACTCTGCAAATGGACAACCCTGACATGAGATTCATTAGCTTCCATTACAGCCCAGACCATTGCCTTACAACTATGCCCAATAGTGTAATCAAGTGTTCAGCCCTGTCTCCAGCTCTGCATGGGGTGACTGTGTGTGGTCTTTTGTGTGCATAAAGCGTAGATATGGAGTATTTTAACAGAAAAAGGATTTAGGATTAGAGTTTCGTTTTCACAATATTTTTCGGAGTTAGCATATCTTCAGTTAGCATTAGCATGTACGTTAACTTCAGGTTCCTCTGGTGATGTTTCTGGCTCTGCCTTTTTCTGGTCTTTAGCTCGGTTTTTAACTCGATTTTAGATCATAGGAAATATGAGTAACTTAGCTCAGGTAGGGCAGTGGGGTCCCCAGCAGAAGGAAGAATAGAATATTTGAACTTTTATCACATTTCTTTGGAAGAAGGAAAAAGGACAAAAAAATGTGTTGACTGTAATTGATTGTAATCAGTGCTAGTACCACAGTGTAGAAATACTCTGACACTAAAGTAAAAGTCCTGCATTCGAAGTTCTTACTTAAATAAAAGTACATGGGTATTGGCTTTAAAATATGTAGCGGAGTAAAAAGTATAATATTGGCTTCTAGAAAATAGTTGAGGTATAAAGTAGCTTAAAAAATGGAAATGCTCAAGTAAAGTACAGGACTGCAATTTATAGCGATTCTAGTTTGATAATTGATCGACTATGATCTATGCTTCTGTCTTAATAAAATATCCTCTTAAATTCGGGGTCCGTGGTCTAATGTGCATCTATTGTGGGGGTCCTTGACATGAAAAAGTTTGAGAACTCCTACATTTATTGCTCAGTTGAACGTCATAAACAGAAGCCCTACCACTATATGTTAACAAACAGGAGTCGAACAACATTCTGGATTTAAAAAAAAAAAATCAGAAAATTGGTAAGGGTCGAAAAAAAAAAGCTCCCACAGCACAAAGTGACATATGCAGCTTCAGTTTTGGCTTGGTTCACAACTATAAAGCTGATAAGTTATTGATAAGACAAAAGTTCAACTAGGAGGATGTTTACCATGAGGTGTAAGGGGGTCTTAGTGGGTCCCTTGGCAGACATCTTCTCCCACAGTCCCCTTCTGACATAGCGCACCGTGGTCCCGGCCAGCTCAAACTCTCCTGGAAGCTCGATCTTCCAGTCGCTGTTGATGGACCTCTCACCGGAGTCTTTCAGGGCTGTGAGAAAGACACAAGAGGTCAAAAGCAACACTTTCATGCACCAACCCTGGGTCTTTGTGTGACTACTACTTTATCAAACCAAAATTTCACATTGTTCACATTGTCTACTGTATGGCAACAGTGATCCTATAATAAATCCTATAATAATTCAGTTCTAAATATAGACTAACATCTGCACAGCCACCTCTATAGTTAAGGTCTGGTTAATGAACAGTTTTTTTTTTTTGGGGGGGATTGGAGGGAACACGCTAATTTACTCTCATGTCTGTTTATCAGACACAGAGTTGGAGTTAGGCCATGGTTAACCTAGCTTAGCATAAAGACTTGAAGCATGGAGAAATAAAACACACCTCACCTTAAAAGCTCACAAATGCAAACGAGTAGCATCTGTAGCATAACTTGTACACAAATGTAAAATGAGAGTTTGTGGTTTCAGGGGGATGTGCTGGAACTAACTAACATGAGGCGCAGTGACTGCATGGTACCATACTGTCTGTACAGGAGGGCTATTTAATTACAAGTTCAATTGGGACTTTAAAACCAGTAGATGTAGATGGGACAGATGTTACAATAGTGTACTTAAAACCTTTTTTTAGCTTTGGGTAATAACAAATTTGAAACTGCAAATGAATGCAGCAAAACTAGCAGACATTTGGAGATGGCGGGACACGGTAGCCTATAGCCATAATACGTAACTGAAGTTCATTAGCAAACTGTGCTGAGCGTAGCACATTAAGCTAATTAGCATTAGCCCGACTGTGCCATCTGAATCATCTGGGAAGTCGTTGTTGGAAACTGTTTGGAAAAGGGCAAACACCTTAAAGAAATACTTGGCAGGTGATTGGATGAACCATCTATCACCATCTGCAAACTTCACTCAATCAGATCAATAAACCATATAACGTAGTCAAACTCTTACTGAAGACAGTTGGGTGCAAAATGAAAACATTTTTTCCACGGAGAAAAACGTTCTTTCCTCTTCTTTCAATGAAGAAATACTCTCCAGTTCTGCTAACCCACCCCCATAACTGCCAGGACAGGATTGGTTTAGTACCACTGTACTGGCCACAAATGCGTCACTGAAGCCTGGCAAGGATTATCTTGTGATCTTGCGAGTCCAGCTGCATTGCAAGGTAAGGTTGTCAGGCATAATAAGGTGAGCGCAAATGAAACACCGCAGCTGAAAGACATATCTCTGTCCTTTAAGTTCCCAGTTAGGTACAACAGCAACAGAGAGAGAGAGCTGTTACATAACACAAGGACAGTGTGTTGACAGAGCTCCACCATTGTAGGGTATGTGAATGGAAGCACATCAAACGCTAATGCACATTTGATGGCGTCCCCCAAGATGAACCGAATCTGTACTTCTGTGCACCTTTACCCTCCGTACACAGAGGTAGTGTCAATGTATTTATGACAAATGGAGACAGTCAGCTGCTGTGTCTATCCTCGCAAACACTATTTTACCACCAGAAAACAAAACAATACAGGTCCGATAAATAAATCCAACCTCACAGCAGGCCTGACACTGACAGGAAGTATTGTTCCAGGGTTTCTTTGATGTGCTGAGGTTTTTCTCTCTGTGGGAGTTTGTTTCTCTGTGGGATTCAACAGCCATTACTACTCTCTCTGTGGCTGCCTACAAAACATCCCCGTCCTCCAGTTTCATCAGAGACAGAACAGGAACTGAACACAGCCAGGGAGCCATGTTAACCCTGCAGTCTGCTGTCCCAGTGTGGCCCTACAAAGGCGTTGCTGTTAAAACTGAACAGATTAGTTTACCTGCTCAAATGTGAATGTGGCATAGACACATTAGTGGTTTGAGTGCTTTAGAATTACAAAGGCTGTTATCAGTACATTTTATATAACTAATCCAGCCAGGTTCCTCAGACCCCATATCTTATTTGCTTATTGGTACCAAAATTGGGGTTGAAATGAGAAAAGACTATAGCTCTTACATATGGTATGTGTGATATATCAGGATAGTCTTCAAAAAGTAATCACAGAGGATGTGCATTATCCAGTAAGTATGAAAACCTTTTTGTAATTTAGGTCTGAAAAGGAGAATCAGCTCAGCCCAGTCAGATATGTAGTGGACCAGAACATTTTATCTAACTTTTCTACCACAAAACAACAGCTTCAGAATCATTTTGAAGCTATGCTGAGTTGTAACGGGGTGAATGGTTCCTCTGTACTCCTGTTGCACTGTAACTTTTGTCTCTGGGTGGGGACAAGTGTGACCAACTATGTCTCCAACTATTTTGGTGAAACTGGATCATATAATGTAGCTGCTGTTAGCTAGTTAGCTTAGTTGATACAGGTAGCACAGGAGCTTTGGACTGCCGGGAGGAGGACGTTTTTTAGAACAGGGGACGGAGAATGCTGACAGAGTGGAACCAGAGCAATGTAGCTGGGCTCAGCAGCTTCAATGGACATAGTTAATGGCAGAGGCGAAGAGACCTAAGAGGACACTGACAGAGGAAGCTAAGAAGGGAAAAGGAGAGAGTAAATGTGGGACTGGCTTTTAGTGGTTGGGGAGAGCTTGGTGAAATAAAAGGCTGCAGACGGACGGCGAGCTGGTCTTCTTGCTGTTGGACCATTCAGTAATATTAACCGCTTGCTATATCTGCTGTTGTTGCACTTGCTTGATGTTGGTTGGCCGTCTTAGCAAAGTTTTTGGCTCGCTAGTTTTTAAATCGTAAGTAAAGAAATCATAACAAACATAGAGCTGTCCATATTCACCACAGTGGGACTGCAGTCTGAAACAGGGGGCACTGACATGGCAACACATGCCAAATCTTACATAATGTTGCTTTATGATGATATCGCTATCAAGCTCATCAGGTGTTTATTTTATATCAGCTGTAACAGATGTAAAATAAACCATACTTCTGTATGTGCATGGTAAATTGTCAATGTATTCAAGGCATCCTTGAAAATAGGAGAAATTACAAAGTGTTTCCAGAAAAGCCACCATGTCTTCAATCCATCCATCCATCCATCCATCCACCCATCCAGATAAGATACACATGAACAGGGGATCATATAAATGCATTGTAGTAGTACTAAAGTAGTTGCATGTAGACTGCAGTAATACTGTAGCACACTGGCAGCAGCTGCCATATAATCACAGTATTGTGTTTTTGTCTGGAAGTTGGCAGTGACCATTCTCAAGGACTCCCTGTAAAACACATGCATCATTACCCAGAAAGCTATGTGAGGGTTTGTCCTCCACAACTTTGATCCTCCTGGCTCCCGCGGGGATAACCACAGCCTCGATGTAGCCTGATAGAGAGAGAGAAATATGAGGTGAAAACAGATACAGAGACCAACAGAGTATGGGGCACGCACATCCAAACAACTTTATGGCTGCTGGATCAAAAGATGAACTGAGTGCAAAAGTCAGACAAATCTGAATTTGCTGAGAGCTATCAGGGCAGTGTGCAGATTTTGTCTGACTTTTGAAAACAGATTCAGAGGTATACAGAGGTAGACATGGAGACAGGGACAGGCTGGTGACCTCTGTGTCTGTATCAGAGATGATCTGTACAACCTCATAGGATCAAATATATTTACATTGCTTTACACTGCTGAAAATAAAAGTTTATTACTGTCCGACTTTCATCAGGTATATGGGGATACAGGGCTCTCATACCTGATGAAGGTCGACTAGATCAGAACATAGTAATAAATAATTAAATGTTTGCGAGGCAAGTTTTTCTCATTGCTTTTTGTTAGAACACCTGACAGCACCACCAAAACCCCAAAGTTAACTACCCATCAGTCAACCTTGGGGATTTTAGTGCTGGTGTTAGGCAATGTAAAACAATATTGATCGATATTTTACTTTCTAATTCTGTCATCTCTGTTGCACAACCAGCCACCAGCCCATTTCCACAGACAACATGACCCCTTTAGGGGATTATTTCAAGACAAAGCAGCTCAATCTGACTTCTACCAATTACTCTACCAATCTTACAGAAAGTGATGGAAAAGGGACCTTTTAAGGAATATTATTTCATTTTTGTTTGTCTTTTTCTTACTTGACTCTGGTCTCATTTTGGCCATCAATTCTCATCGGTTACAGCTTTACAGCTGAGGTCTGGGACAATGCCTGGTTCTCACTTGTACTGAGGAACACCAGCACCTCTGATTTTTATCTGTATGAGTGCCCTTACTTCTTATTGCGTACTGCCACCTCTGGTAAGCATGGATGCACCCACCACTGATGTACGGACCTATTTTTTTCCGAGGGGTATACAATAAAAGTTGGGAAATAACTGCCTAAAAATAACTTTTCTCTGATGCATGCCCCCAAACCCCCTAGCATGTTACATTTTTGGAACTCGGTATTACTAAAACCCTGAGTACAACAATGATGGTGAACTACTCCTAAATGCCCACGTAACTGCGTCTGTGTGTAACCACATAGCCAGCTTAATGTTAAGATAACAGCACTGAAAAATGTCCTTGTTAAATTGGATGGTTTGTTAGCACTCATGTTTGCTGCATGTACATGTTATAATTGTCAGAAATGAAACTGGTGAGTAAAATGCAACTCAGTTCCAAACTGAAAGACAAAATTGACTAAGCTAACTATGTACCATCTCAATCCCAAGCCTAACCCCAACCGACCAAACCAACAAACACTATCCAATCAGAGGCAGAGTAGGGTGGATCTACGCAGAATTCTCATGGGAAAATTAAATGTTGTGCATAAGTTTACAGGAGAAGCGCTGGTACTCAGTACTGGTGACTAAGCCCATTTCAGGGACTTGTTATCCCCCTGTACATAACACCTAAGACTGGTTTGAGTAAAATGTCATTGTAAGTAATAGAAATGATGGCCAAAACTAAAAAGAATCAGGTTAGACATTGCTAATTGGTAATGTAATGTTAACTTTGATGTGTTCCAAAATTCATATATTGGTTTCTGCTCTAGAAAAATAAATACAAAACTGGAGTCAGTGCTTTAACAAGGTAAATGTGAGCTGCTTTGTTCCTCTGCCCAGTTTGCCCAACATTATTTCACAATGCAGTATTTCACAGTTACAGACACCAATATGACTTCATACTTACCAATACATTCTCTAAGCCTCAACACACACAGCGCACTGTTACACACCATGAGGATACAGTGGCTTCTGACCGACATCAAACACAGACACACGGACAAGACAACAGCAAAAATTTTGTCAAATGAACCCAAAGGATGAAATGCAAATTCCTCGCAGAATGTGTAAATGTGAATCGTCCTCAAGCGTGATATGGCTGAACTATCAACTGCTATCGCCAGTATCCTGTCCTCATCACGCAACAAGGCCAAGCTCGGTCAGGTCTCAGTGTTCAGTAGATCCATTTGGCTTCTTTTTGTAGTTGGTGTAACATAATATTAAGTCACATCAAAGAAAGTCTGGCTCTATGGTTGCCCCTGAGGACAAAACGCAACATGTTGAACTGCCATGTTTCTACAGTACCCCCGTTCTCATTCCCAGGTCGTCAAATACAGACACAAGTGGTTTTCAGTTAGTTGCAATTTGCAACGTCACCACTAGATGTCACTAAATCCTACACACTGGACCTTTAATCTCCAATAAATAAAACCAGTACATGCAAAATATCGCCCCTAACCCCAATCACACTGCTGTTATCATTAACCTGTATTTATGCTGATTCTGTCAGACGATATTGCCATTATAAAACTAACTTTTTTTAATCTGTCCCTCATAAATACCTAAACCTTTAGAACTGCAATGCTAAATTACTGGAGCACTTTGTTTGCATGCTTTGAAGGAAGGTCTTTCTGCACCCTGGTGCTCCAAAGTTGCTTAATGTAGCTGTCCTGAATCTAAGCACTTAGACCTATCAATGTCTGTAGTAAAGCCTTTCCATTTAATCAATTCATGGTGAGGAAAAATAATCTTTTAATGTGCAAACGTGGTATTTGCATTTCAAGAGGTTGCGTTCATGACACAAAATTTTGTGAGCCCGGGCTGAAACTGATCCTGGACAGATCTTTTCCGAGGGTTTTGGCGACTCGTATCCACAATGAACAGACACAGCACTCCCCTCCTGAAAGCTGACCGGCAGCATCCATCAACCCTCCACCACCCTGCCCGTCCAGCTATGGTTAGACACAGACTGCCATGGGCTCATCTGGGTTTACCAGCAGCGCATCTGGCGTTTTAAGAAGCGAATGCCAAATGTTAAAGTATGACGTTTTATACAGTACTGTAATTGTCAAACTTCTAACATTTCTAACATCTTATGGCATACGACTGTTCTCTCCCCCTCTGACGTTACTCCTCCGCTTGGCAGAAGCAGCAGGGAGAAGGAAACACCTTGGATGAAAGGAATGCGTCCCTGGCATACCTCATGGCTGGGTTATGGGGTAACAGGGTCAAACAGCTGGTTATGTAAGTGTAACCAAGCATTTTTGTTTTTTATAACATTCAGACTACACCCCCCAGAGGAGCCCACAGATAACTGCTTATCTAATCTACCTACAGTAAAACACTCCAGGCAGTGCAGGAAACACACACACGCGCGCACACACACACACACACACAAACGCGCGCGCGCACACACACACACACACACACACAGTGCATGCATCTTACATGAGAAACACTTGGGGACAGCTCTGGGTTTAGCCATCACACAGGTAGATACCCTCTTACACTGCCTAGTGGTGACTGGAGGACAAGACAAGGAAGTGGAAGGGAGGTCACATGTCCTGTGGACCACACCGGCATGTGCATGCACGTGTGCACACACGCTAACACACACAAGCTCCCATTGCGGTTATTTTCCCCTTTTCTGACTCAGGTTGTGGTGTGATGTGGACACTGCTGACTAATACATTTATCAGTGTCCACAGATTCTGTCACATTGGCTGCTGCAACAGAACCACAATATCTGTGATCACTGTTTGCACTAATTTTTTATAGTGTTCTGTGTGGTTAAGAGGGTGATGATGAAGAGCTATGTGTGATATCCAGTCAAACAAGGAGCTGTAAATCCAGAGTAACTGTCTGACATCAACAGCCTAAAAAAGTAAAATATTAAAATAAGACATTCAGTTCTGTCTTCTGTATTTCAAACATAAAACTACTATTTGTATTATGAATCTGTCCTTTCTATCACCAATGGTTTTTGATGCTTGTGTTAAAAGGGATGGGCTAGATGGAAAACCTCACTCACATATTCAGCTCAAGAGAACTTTGTGGAGTCACAGGCATAAACTGGATACAAGTAATGTTCCCTAATTCCAAGATTACATACTTTAAGGCAAAACACTACACGCAAAAATATATATTTTTTTTTCCTCCATTCCTAGTATAAATAAATAAAAACGCCAACAATATACTTTGTCTATTTGCATCTGTAGATTTCTCCTAAAGTTAGCATCAGATATTGACTCATTTGCCTATTTAAACAATACATTTCAGAAAACAATACAAAATACAGTACAAAAAAGTAATTGTCTAAAGTAATGAGTTCAGGAAGTTTCATGGGGATATCATTAGTTAAAATCTTTACCCTATTCACCGGTAGTGTCTTGTAAAATATATGGATTTTACAATACATATTTTTAAAGGCCGTTTTCTCAAAATTAGTATAGTCTCACACTCTGAGCCAGAACTCTCCACTTCAGCAGCATTTACATACACCTAAGCTTCTAGTTTTATTCTTATTTATATTCTGAAGGTTTTTACAGAGGGCTTTGTTCATATATCATTCACAGTATGATTTATAGAGCATTTTATTCCTAAAAACATGGTGAAATGTGATTTTTTTATTGTTGTGATTTATGGAGTGATAAAGAGACATCCACAATTCCCTCTGTAACACCCTCTGACTCTGATATGTCAACATAATGAAACCATGTCTAATCTGGCTTTATCCGAAGTTCAGATTTCTGTTCTGAAAATATATGCACATTAGTGCATTTATAAGTGGATAATGCATCATTTGCATATTTAAACATACAATTTCAGAAAACTTGTATCTCCCTTCCCGACTCTGTATGCCAATAAATACTTTTACGGGGCTGTACCCTACTCAGAATTGTGTTAATATCCATTATTACTATCTATTTCTAAACTTCTATAGCCTTCACTTTTACCTGCACTGTCAACAGCCCTGCAGGAAAGATGCTGTGGGATTTTATAACTGCGCATTAGTGTTCATACTACAAGAAATATGTGCCAAATGCATCCAAGACCACCTTGGCAAGTGGTTTGAGTGATCAGATCACAATGCGTCTTGGTGGTTGTTTACACTTGTATTTAAAACTTGTGACCGGATCTCCCAATATGAATACCAGGTGTAAACAGGCTCAGTGATCCCTGAAAACACACTAAGTGTCGCCTAAAGAGGCTTAAGAAAAAGAAACACTGTCTATACTGCCATGATTAGGTTAGCAAATGCAGTGATCCATTTTTCCAGCAAAACAACTAATTTCCTAATATTTTGAAGGACTTCTACATAACTGACAAGATGGCAAGATAATTACAGGTTTCCAGGTGTTTTTAGGATGAATATAGAAACACTTCCTGTCTGAAGTGCAGTCATATTGGTCCTAAAAGTGTTTTCAGAAACACAAAGTGGATAAATAAATGAAATGCAATTGCTTCTCATTGTGCCGGCACCTTTAAATAAACCACACCTGAGCACACTTGCTCTAGTATAAACTCTCTTCAAAACCCTCAGGCTTAAGACAGAAACATCTGCCATGTGGCTAATCGACATTTAGGTTTGACCAGCATTGAAGGACAATACATATATATACATTTTATGCCATAAATTTCATTTCATGCCCAAATAATTCTACAAAACATGAAATATTAACAGTGTTTGCAATCAAAACATGATTTTTGTCAGGGTGGAATCTGCATTTACACAATTACACAGAACTGTTCAGGTTCAGGCAACCGATGTATAGTAATACTGATATAAATATATAATGCTAAATGTACACTGTAAAAGCTGACAACACATCTTTATAAAAGTAGTAAGATAACATAACTTAATTCTCCCAAAGATTTTAGTCACTCATTCACATGAATGAAGCCCAACTCAAAGTTTGCATTGACTCATTTTCTCGAAGATGACTTTATGTCATTATAAAATGCTGTACAGCTTAGGATTTTTCACTTTTTGTTTTTATTTCAGTTTATTAATCATCATAAGCTCAAGTATGCATCCAAATAATTCTTAATCATCACCCAAACTGTAAAGATTTGATGTTACTCCCTAAAAAAAACACAAAAACTTACTTTGGTACCATTTTGTTAATTAATTAATTATAAAATGCTTTAATTGCATGTCATCTGTTTTTACAGGTAATGTAATAATAATTTGAATACATTGAACTTATGAAGGTGTTAACATTTATATAAATAATATGGATTTAAGTTACTTTGTTCAGTTAAATTGTGTTCACACATTTTAAATAAGTTTGGAAAAATGCTGCATCTGGGTTTAACTTCAATCAACTGAATAGAATTGGTACAATTAACTCAATTTACTCAGGTTACCTTAACAAATACTTAAATTACTTCTACTCAAATCAAATATCTTAAATTGTTTGAGTTAATAAATTGAAACCGGTTAAAGGCAATCGGTTTCCTCAGACAGTTTGAGTTGAACTAAGTCATCAGGTTTTACAGTGAAACTGTATCACATCGGTACTAGATGCCAATGTCTGGATACAGACAGCCAATATCAGCTGCATACATCAGCACACACATAGGGTATACTAGATGGATACTACAACACACACACAGACACAAACATGAACACACACACTCACCCATTCCTTTGGTGTGGTTGAAGTCTCCTCTCACTATCTTGCAGGAGCGCCCGTCTCCATTACAAACACCACAGCGGTCCTCTTTCGCAGAAGAGCCGATGATGCCATCACAGCCAATTTTCTGTACAGAGCAACAGTAAAACAGGAGGCTGATAAGTTGCCTTTGTGGTGTAGTGCATGTGTATACAGGCATAAGTTAGGGTAAAAGCTTAGCGTTTCCTATTGTAATATGTAGTTCAGTCACCCATCAGAAGGTGGCGTTAAAACTTAAGGTAATGGATGCACCAACCTCTATTCTGCCTACTTCACATAAATGTTGACCCCCTTCAGGAATCGTATGAGAATGGCAGAACAGACTTGTTGATGGGCTGTCCTCAACAAGTCTGTTTTTCTGACAAAGCTACAAATTGGCCATAAATGTATCCATTAAGAGTGTAGCGATGTTCGCTCGCTGGTTACAATTTGTGGCCAGTGAAGCCAGGAATTGACTCAGTGCCTCAGTAGTACATACTGAAATGTGTGTCCACAGCCCTGGAGTTGCTAGACCTTAAAGACATTTAAAGAAAGGCTCAGCAACCTGCTCCTTTTGAACACATATCGATCACCACTATCACAGTGAATGATAGAAAGTAAACACGGTAATATTCTATTGTTTTGTAATGAGAAAAGGACAAATAGAAGTTTTGGTTCCAGTTTTGTTAGTAAGTGAGTGGCCCAGTGTCATTAACACAGTTAATGTTGAAGCGCAATACATTCGTGTAGTGCTGCGGTGGTGATCAATGGGGAAAAAAATTTGACTTTAAACTAAAAAAGGGAAAAATAGGTGTTGCTTAGGGCAACAGAAAGGTGTGATCACACAGAAAAGAAAAAAAAGATGTATATTACAGATAGGGGGCAGTAAGGGTCTGTCCTAGGTTTCTGCCTATTAACAGGCAGTGTTTCCTTGCCCTTGTCGCCAAGTGCTTGCTCATGGTGGTACTGTTGGGTCTCTGTAAATAATGTTATAAAGAGTTCGGTCTAGACCTGCTCTATTTGAAAAGTGTCCTGAGATAACTTCTGTTATGAATTGGCGCTGTACAAATAAAATTGAATTGAATTGAATTGAATTAACTGCTGACAGGTTTAAGGAGATAAAGCTTTGCTCATATGTTACATCTATGGCCCAGAATCATAAGACACAGAGACTTTTTACTACATCAAGAATTTAAACTTGAAGCCAGACACCCACACCCACCCACACAGAGTGCAAGACAAAGTAATGCATGGTGCACAGTTTGCTGAATCAGAGGACCATATGGCTCAGTCAGACTTCCAGGGTCCTCCTCCAGCCAGACACAGTCTATTTTCATAGTTTCACTGAATATATTCCTCTCCCCTTTTCCTGTCTGCTTCCTCTCTTTCTTTTCTCTCCCTCGCTCCTTGCCAGTGTTTTCATAGCATGCCTGAGTCTCACATGCCAGGCTTAGAAAAACATCCATGCCTCCTCCTCCCTCTGTAACCTCAGTTTCTGCAGCTCTGTCTCCATCCTGCAGCTCCTCCACTGCTTCTCCCTTTCAGGCTGAAGACAGAACCAGTGTGCAGGCAGGAATGTTTGGGCAGAGCCCAACAGATGCATGATGGGTATGTCTGAAGCTGACGAAGGCAGGGGTTAGCAGACCAAAGGAAAGACGAGAAACGAGAACCCAGTTTGATTAGCCCACTGGTCAGCTTGTGAGTCTTATTTTAACATGTCGGGCTGGGTGAGGTCAGGAAATGATCTAGACGTAATTGACCCTCCATAACTCCCGCCCATTGGTGTATATAAAGATGAACGACATGACAGCTCTCCAAAAGTGAAGCCAAAACATCTCGACAGCCTGGCTCACTGCAGTATAGGTTATAAAGCCCACTGCCTCAATGTTAGCAGATGGAACAAACTAAAAAATCTAATTACACATCAAATACATTTTTCCCAAAGATGGTTTCTGTCATTTTAGGTAGATTTTAACGCTCTGGTGTTTGTTCAAGAGTTCAATTATCTGATAAGATTGGTTTTAATTAGTTATTTGAAGCTATAAAAAGGGGTTTCACCTCACGATAGACTCAGGCAGAGCTCAGCTGTCAAAGTCAGTCGGGTGTATGGGCGGGACTTCACTACTGTGGCGCCAACCCCGATCACTACTGGACAGACTCGGCTCTGAATCCAGAGGATGGTAGCTGTTGTGTTGTGTACAGCGGGAGGAAGTGGAGACGTGACTTGGTGCTGAAGCCTGTGTCAGCTTCCTCCTTTCCTGTACTCAGATATGCTATGTGTTGGGCTCGTCTATGTTGAAAATACAACCACCACTTTGTGTGGTTAAAAGATAAAAGCGACATATAGTCACAGCTTAAGTTCGCTAATTAATCTACATCAATTGTGATTTAGCTACTTTAATTTGAAAGCTAATGTCAGCAAAACACTAAATAGCTAATTTACATCTAACCTAATTTACGTTCAATTGCAGAAACACCTTAATCATTAACCTAATATGACTCTCCTCACTATGATCACTCTAACATGAATCCTAAACCGAAGAACTGTGTGTGTATTAGCCCAGTCTGAATGGGATGGACAGCACAATGGCACTTAAAATATATACACACACATAGAAAGAGAAAAAACACACATATACAATGTGTGCTTCAGCTGTACTCATTCTAACTGATCTTACACAGTTAAGGTACATGAGTCATTGCTGATGTGTAAGAAGTAAGTATTTTGTGAGCACATGTGCGTCATGATAATTGCATCCATATTCGACTCTCTGGACCTCTCACTCTCTCTCTCCCTCTGTCTCTCTCCCAGAAGGAGGGGAATTCCTCCCAAATGTACAAGCATCCAACATTTGCAAATAAACACAAAAGGCTGACTGTAGTCGGGACACCAGATCCAAATAAACTCCTCAACCCTCCGCAGGGGAGGAGACTGTGGATTCACTCCACCACTGCTAACTGCTAATGAATGAGGCACTCTATTGATCCCTGCAGGGACATTCTCCTTCACAGCTCTGCACTGTATTTATTTGTTTATTTCATGACTGATTTTTTTTCAGCAATGTCAGCAGTGCCAAAATCTCCCCCTTCTCTCCCCCGTGGCTGTTGAAAAGACTAAACTTCAGTTTTTATTTATTGACCCGTCTCTCTTACCAGCACGTCATCCTGAAGCCATGACATTGGCTACATTATAAGGGCTTCTGATATCATTCATATCAATCTATTTGTAATTACCATTGACCCACTGCAATATAAGTTACGTTATCCTTCATTAATTAGGCTGCTATAAGGAAATGAATTCTCTGCATTTGACCCATCCTAAAGGTCCAACTCCTGATCTAATATATAAAGAGGAACCTTGAAGCTAGAGTTCAGATGATGAGTACTTTTTCTGCCTTAATCTAACCAAGCTCCAACCTTTACCATGCAAGCTTTATTTGAAAATCTAACCAGACATTGCATAGTTGCTACCTTGACAGGAAGTTGCAGACATAGGATATTTTTTTGCAAAGTTCTGGAATAAGATTTTTTTTTTTGATTACACTGAATATTCTTTGATCACTGCCTGAATTCCAGATAATGTAATTATGTGTTGTATGTGCCTAAAATATCCCCCTTATGCCTTTTAATGTTCATATAATGGTCATTTCTGTGCAATCCCAAAATGACCACTGGTCCTATCCTGACCACCCCATTTGGAAATTGCATGGCTCCACCACTGTTTTAAAGGAGTATGCACGTGTGTGTGTGAGTATGTGTGTGTGTGTACCTGACACCTCCCATTAACACACAGGTCGGCCTCATATGGTCCACAGGGCGTCCCATCCATCACTCTGTCAGCCATCAGGACCGGGATATCTCGACCCACCGGGCTGCAAAACAACACACACTGCTTCTCTGCTCACACGCACACGCGCACACACACACACACACACACACACACACACACACACAAAATCATGTTGTCAGTGTAACTATCAGGGTTTACAAGAGCAGTAGAATGTTAATGGGCGTGCATCAGGCGGTTCTGGTCTCCGCACACACCAAGTATAACCAGTCCACCCCGCCTTTCTGTCCCAATATAACCAGTCCACCCAGCCTCTCTGTCCCACTCCTCAAAGTTGTCAAACATTGTGAGCTCAATGAACATTCTGCAGACATGTAACAGAGATTACCCATCATGCACCTGTTGATCTTGGGCGTGTTTGTCGGGCAGAAGAAGAAGATATACTTTATTGATCCCCTAGGGGAAATTGTACCTCTCCAGCTACCAGTCCACACTCCATAATTTGTGGTTTGTGGGTCTTGAACCGGCGACCCTCCGGTTCCCAAGCCAATAGTAGTTTGAAGAAGAATCTCTTGGAAACGCTTATTAACCACTATCCTGGACAAATGATAGACTGACTCCAAAGAACCCAAAGGAAGGAAGGGAGGAAGGAGAGAATAGCCATTCATTTGTCTGCCTTCACTAAAACAGATTTACATCGGGTTAGGATAAAAGTAAGCACCTTCCATAATTCATCAAAAGCAAGAGAGCTTTTGTCAGACAGCTGTAACAATGTGAGCTGCTGAGACTCTGAATAAAGGGCAGAACACAGAGGAAAACTCCTTCTCTAGTCAAAGTTGTGTCGGCTGAGAGCTGCTCCAGCTGGCTGCTGTGGTTCTGGAGGAGAATAAAGGAGTGTCTGTTTGGATCCATATCAGTCTTCTTTGGGAAGACATTAGAAACCAAAGTAATCTGTATGTACACTACTGCTCAAAAGCCACAAAAGCTTGATTCCGTACAGTCAGATGGGTTGTCCATGGAGAACAAAACGCTGTACAACTAGACTGACAATGTATACCTCTAATTAATACCTCTATACCTCCTCTCATCCTTGCAGTCTTGTATATTTATGTTAGAATGACTCATGTTTAGTAGCCTATTATGTAAAAGGCGGACAATTTCCTGTCAATCTAACCTCCAGTATTGAAAAATAATTACACTGTACATGTAAAAGCCCAGCTAGGGACAAGATCTGAAAATTAGCAAACACTATAAACTCTAAAGTAGAGAAGAAACTGGAAGCTTCGTATTAATATTTGTGCAGATTTAAAGAATAACAGGTTCCTGTATCACAAGCTGGAATAAACATGCATGTTGCTAAGATATTCTTAAAATGTAACAAACGTTACGTTACGTAAACGTTGACAAACTGAAATCTAAAAGGGATTGTGTGAAATTCAGACTTCATCTCTTGATATGACACAGATGGTGAATTACCTCTATTAGTACCTCTATTTCCAATTTTATAAGCTGTACCCCCTTCCTGGGCCAATAGAAAGTGTTTCCACAGGAAGCTACCCAGCAACAACCACCTAAATGTAATGATATTAACATTCAAATGCAATAATGCAGAGTCTATCCAACAATGGATACTGAAGTCCTGCAAGGAACGGCTGAAGTTGGCAGAGCCTTACAAGCCCATTATCACATATCCAGCTTTAAAATACAGACATCAAAGAATCCAGTATTAGGACTCATGCACTGCCTCCTACAGGGCTCCCTGAGGTATCTCCAGACTGAATTCAAAGTGAATTTTAGAGGCATCGCGTTTACCTACAAAACTCAATGAAAAGTGAGCTGCGCAAATTGGCTCACATACACATGAATTCCTTCTGGGCCACTGGTTCTCAAACTATGGTTCATGTTCTACTGGTGGATATGCAAGCTCCCTCTATTGGTACACAGAGGAATCTGTGAAATACTTATAATTAAATATATGGGGTGCCAGCTCTACCCGGTGAGCTATGCGGGCACCTCATTTATTTCATTTTTTAAGTATTTCACAGATTCCTCCCAGGCACCAAGGAGGCTGAGTCCTTGTTGCAGCGGCCCTGGGTTCGAGTGTGCAGCATGTCACCCTCCTTTCTCTCCCCTTTCCTGTCACTCTTCAGCTGTCACTATCTATTAAAGGCAAGGCAAAAACAAAAGTATGAAATTGCTGAAGCTCAAGTGTTGCCTTTCCTGTATTTTTTCCCCCAGTATCTGCTACGTAGCCATGTTCCTGCATGAAGTGCACACATACATCCATCATTAGTTTCACCTTGTGGTGTATGAGAGTTGTGGAAGAGTTTAAAGGTCCAGTGTGTAACATTTAGGAGGATATATTGTCAGAATGGAGTATATTATTCATAGGTATGTTTTCATTAGATCACCTGAATATAAGAATAATTGTGTTTTTGTTCTATCTATCTTCCATGGAGTCCTCCATGGAGTCCACCATGTTGAACCACCATGTTTCTACAGTAGCCAAGAAGGACAAACCAAACATCTTCCACATTATTTCACAACAATCGTAGTCTCTCCTACACACTTCACAGCACGTTGTCATTCCCAAGTTGTTAAATACACATTTAATAGTCTGCTACTTCACCGCTAGATGCCACTAAATCCCACACACTGGTCCTTTAAGTGCCAGTTCTAGTGCCAACCCTTTGTAAGCTGTGGCTGACAGCAGTCAACAGTAAATAATCATGTTAGGAATAAACCTGTCTCCAGTGTGAACTGCGTGACTGTAACTGAATAGGATCGGCCTGTGCTGCTGTATTTTAACATTGATCATAACGGTGTTACACAGATAGCCTAATGTTTTCTCAAGCTGTAAGCGGTGTAAAACGTTTTAGAAACTATTCTAGGCAGTGTAAAATATGGTGAAACCAATTCACGTGACTTTAAACATACAGAGACGAGGAAAAAGCAGAGAGAATGGAGGAAAATAAGAGACCGTGTGTTGAAGGGAGAGCTCAGACTTTGATCTCAGCAAGCCACACACACACACACACACACACACACACACACACACACACACACACACACACACACACACACACACACACACACACACACACACACACACACACACAAACACACACACACAGTTGGTGTGTACATACAATAACAGCTGGTTAGCTACAGCTAACATCTGTACGGTTTTGTACACTGTACTGTACAACGTGAGGCAAAAATTGGCTCTACTTTAAGAGATGGTGACTTATAAATATTAAAGGAAGTTGCTGGATTGGGCTGCATTTTCTGTTTTCTCTGTAGATATAATATGTACAGGCAAAAATATGTACAATCAGGTTCTATCTATAAAATTCTAATTTTACAATGTATGTCTACAATAATCGTGTGACTTTGTCACATGTCCACTGTACAATAGTTTTCAGATCTGTTTTCCTGTATTCACATGGGTCACATTTTTCTTTTCATGCTTTGCTTTAGTTTGGTAAAATGATAGTATTTGGCAAAACATGTTTCACCTCAAGATGAGGGGGTATTAAGATGTAGTTAGTTGTCCCATTAATTCTTGTTCATACACTTATTTCTATTATTATTTATCTTGTGTAATCCAGCAGTAGTATGTCCTTTGACTTAGGTTGTGTATACTGTGGTCAGTAAGTACTGCCCACTTCCAAGCTTCTCACTGGCACCCAAGTGTTTAGTGGTGTACCATGACAAAGCACAAGAACAAAGACAAGTCTGAGTCATTTACTATTTATGCATGTTTAAATCAGTTCACATAAAAGTATAAAATGTGTGTATGAAATCTTTAAAGTGCTGCAGCCTGTTGGGAGTAAATTTACACTCTGGCCGCTGCATGGCTTTCAAGTAACACATTAATCACTTCAACAGTGAACGCTTTAATGCAATTATTGCTCCCTGGGCTCAGTCATTAAGAACATTCATTTCAAAGCTGTCTCCCCTCTCTTTAGGATACACCAGTTTTTACAGTTACACACACACCGTTGACAGCCAACTGTTCTTGTCACCTTTTAACACACAATATCAAAGTAATGGGAATATTTACATCCTGTGTTTCCACCATTTATCATCTGACAAAAGCTCACAGTGTGAGGATAATTATGGGTGAACAGAGATTTCAGTGTAGGAACTCACCGTTTGTAACTCTATCTGCTACGCTTTCTTGTGGTGTACCACAAGGTTCTGGGCCCTTATTGTTTTTCCTTGTAATTCTTGTTTTTCATCACTGCTAAGGACAAGATTAGATACTGTGCCTTTCATTGCCTAAATTCTATCAAGTAGCTGTAGTGTTAGTTATTTTGTAGCCTAAAAGAGTGCTCCACTGACTAAGCATTGCACTCCTATTACATTGTCAGACTCACAACAGAAAAAAAGAATCAGAAACTGATCCACCAGAACCAGAGGTATCCTTGTCAAATGATGATGACAAATTAGCTGATGAGTGAGGCGGGCTATTGTTACAACAGGAATGTGTGTGTGTCTTACCGTCATTAATAATAGCAGTCAGCATGCTGCCCTTTTTCTTGCTGGCATGTCGGTCGTAGGACAAACACTGCAGGTCTCTGAAGCTGGGTGCCCCCTTGGGACACGGAAGACCTTCACAGGCCTTGTGCTCCACACTGGTCTTCTGACAGTGTCTCCCACCAGGACCAGGCCTACACACACACACACACACACACACACACACACACACACACACACACACACACACACACACACACACACACACACACACACACACAGTATGAACACTCACTTTAGTGTTGTTAGTATAGGTATCTAACAAGTATGATCATGACAGACTCCTAAGCCCAATTATTATAAACATTACTGAAAATAATTCTATACTTTCATTTATTCTTGTATGTAAGATCTGAATGTCACATTTTAAAATTTCTAAATTTCTGTTTAGTTGGAAGGCTTTTCAGTGAGCACTCAGCTTCTTTAAGATGGAGGAAATGCATGCTGTGGTGTGCACACAGGCTGAAAATTACCCCACACAGATACACAAGAGATCCAATACCTCAATGTGTATGTGTGCAGTTTGATTTAAAGATAATCAGTGTGTCAAAGTGTATGGGTATAGTCATAGCACAGTTTTTTAAAAACATTTTTATTTTATACTCTGTGGATATCTGCACAAAATGTTTTTTTTACAACATCATAATCATCTGTCATACAGCTGCTATGAGATATTTGTACAGTCACTGACTGTGGATACTCTGTCCAATCTGGATTTAAATTCAAATTTAGCATCATTTTCATTTTTGCAATTTTGTTTGCGCCTGTGCAGAAAACTGTAAAACCACAGAAGTTCAATTAACTAAAAAAATTACTGAAACCGATTACATTGAAATTTTAAGAATTTCTATTTTAAATGGCGTAGCTTTTCTAGCCTAACGGTACTGATTTAGTGGCCCAGATATGTACAATATGTACATTGTGACTCGAGCGAAAACATTCTGGGTGACACAGGGGAGATGAGATGAGACAGTCGGAGAAATAAATAAGTCTGTGAAAAGTAATTTCACATGCCGTGTAATAAAAAGATAAACGCAGACAGTGAACAGACCCATGCATGTTCATTTGTACCATGGGCAGACCATGGCGATTATTAAAAGTGGAAACATACCCACTCATATGCAAACAGAGCACAGAGAAAATAATGAGCTAAGCACCAATATGATGGATCCACCAGAAAAAGTTGGTGTGTTTCTGACAGTACTGAAAATCTTATCTTCAGGATTTCTATCGATTCTATCTATTCTATTCTATTCTATTGAACATATCGATTTTTAGCCTGAAAGTATTCCTTCATTTAATGTTTTATGAATTTAAAAGAGAAATGTAGCATTTGTAGTGCAAGTCTATTGCAGGTGCAATTTCTCTCTCTCTCTCTCTCTCTCAGACAGACAGACAGACAGACAGACAGACAGACAGACAGACAGACAGGCAGGCAGGTGACATACGGAGGGTTGTCACATTTCCTCTGTCTGAACTGGACTCCAGTACCGCAGGTCCTGCTGCACATGCTCCACTGGCTCCATGGACTCCAGTCTCCGTCCACATGCTGAGGGATGGGAGTCTTACTGACACACTCGCCTGCCCTGCACCACTGACACACGCACACGCACGCACACACACACGCACACGCACACGCACACACACACACACACACACACACACACACACACACACAAAACACACACACACACAGATTAAAATGATTTCAAATACACTTCATAATGACCGTAGGCTTCATTCAGGCAACAGGTATCTTCTATCAGAAGCTGATGAAGATCTGAGTATTTGTGCATGGAAGCCAGAGTGAGACAGTCCTACCTTGTCTGCTCCACACTCTGTTCCATCCAGAGGAGGATCCAGTTTTGTCTTGCAGGACACATCTCCCTCTACTAAACACCACAGGCCAGCACACATCAGGTGCTGACACACACAGAAATACAGGAGATACCATAAGTTATCACAAAAATGTCAGTATTCACATTCAGCATTACATTAATTTACTGTTGACTTCCATTAGTACAACAGCTGAGTTTGCATTAACAGCAAACAGCATGCTAATACGACTGTTTGTAAGCCTGCTCCAAGAAATACCTGGTTTTCTCAGCAGTGAAGGTAAATAAAGGCTCTGGATGCTACTGGAGAATATATGGCATGTCAGGTTTTGAATGAGTAAACCCTGAGGTAGCAGACTAAATATATACAGGCCTGATGGAGCAACCACAGAGGTCGGGACAGTTCTTTTTAGTATTAATATTACTTCTAAGTTTCCCCAACCAAATGACAGGCTTGAAGCTCAGGATGCTTGTGCTTCCTTTGCTAAGGTTATGTATTAAGTCACAACCAGGTGTGTTCACGCTGCTTAATATCAGGCTTCAGTCACAGAGGTCCTACCACTGGAATCTCAAGCATTTTTACAACAAAAAATTGAGGAAGACACAAAATGCAAATCAACATTTGTTTACGTCGCCTCAGCCCATCATGCATCTACTTGCTGCTGTATACATACTGTACAATCATATTTACAATGACCTGCATTCTTGTAAAACTTCTAATCCATTTCTTTCCCTTTCTGCTTCTGCTGTTCATCCAGAGTTTTGTTCAGGCCACGGCCGTGTAGGGATAGAAAACGAGAACCGGTTCCAAATTGTCTGATCCATCAGAATCGTTCACCTCAGAGTTGATCAATTCCTTTTATCAATACCGGCATGTTTTATCTGACAGTTGCTCATTGCAAAACAAGAACAAAACTGTGTGTCTACGCTGATGGAAACTTGCAACAAGGAGTCATGGGGGGCGCCTTGGTGGCTGACTTGGTAGAACGTGTGTCCCATGTCTGTCTGTCTGTCTGTCTGTCTGTCTGTCTGTCTGTCTGTGTCTGTCTGTCTCTCTCTGTGTCTCTCTCTCTGTGTGTCTGTCTCGCTCTGTGTCTCTCTCATATAAAGGCACCAAAAAGAATTGGAGTTATAGCAGAGAGGAAGATACGGTCCAAAGCGTGACTTCATTTCACTAAGATGACAACAGTGCCAGTTGTAAATGAAGGTGGAAACCACAGCAATATGCTGAAACAGCTTTCTACACAACATGGGCTTAAATTACAGGGATCCCATGTATTTCACACTTGCATGAGTGCCACTGCCACAGCACGTCCATTACAGAGGGTAAATTATGATAACATTAGCGCCATGCATTTTTTTTTTTTTTTTTTGTTCTGGCTGTTCTGCCATGTAAGGGACTCCCACCTCTTCTGTCAGTCCCCATTGATGTAGCATTCCTGGTCTGAAGTCAGAGCCATTACACACACAACGCTCACCATAACAAATGAAACTGATCAACCCCTCAGACCATTTTTCATATTACTTGTCTGAGAATTTTTTTGTCCATTCTACCATAGCAGCCCTAAACAAACACCCTTCTGAGTGCAACTTATAGATGAGTTTTTTTTAGATTTTTGATCAGGCCCCCCCCACCCCCCAAAAGAAATAAATAAATCAGGCCTGAAAACATTTGGTGCAAGCCTGAACCGAACCTGAAACACGGAAGCAGCTTTGGGTACAACCCAAAAGAGCAGAGGAAAATCAACTGTAATCCTCTGCTTGCTCTTGCTTTGAAGAACTTCTGCTGACATAAGAAGACACTGTTAGTTTTACTGTGTACACAAAGTGCTTCCTGCTTTAAGTTGTCAGTTTACTTGAGCTATGTGCCTCCTATGAAAGCTCATATGACCCGTTCCTAGTCGACTTTGATGTACAGTAATCCAATCAAAGTGACTCAAGAGCCTAACGCATGTTGTTGACTGGATAATTGATTTACCCTCTCACTCTGCTCCTTGATCCATTCCTCTTTCATCCTCTTTTACTTCTCTCTTCTGAGCCAATAGCTCCCGTCTTCTTTTAACACGCTAAAGTAATCAGAAACATCCTAAGAGCAAATTTTTCAGATGCAGATAGTCCACTTAGGATGGATGGAGCCTGTTGATATAGCTGCAAGCCTGGACCCCCTAGTGGGCCCCTGAAAGTACAGTGGGGATTTCTATCAGGAACCAAGGGAAGCCTGGACTCCCTCAATTATTATACTAAGCTAAAGTTACTGCCCCGCGGTTGTATGCCTCCGCCAACCATTCAAGTTGCAGTTTACGTCCATGTCTGTCCAGACTCATAAGCTTCTGAAGGAATTTATTGGGTGTTAAAAGTGTAATTTTTGGCTAAATGGTAGTTTGCACTATATTGATGCTATATTTTTTAACTGCTTAATGAAGGATTATCATAGATGTATTGGCTACACAGTTACACATGTAATTGATTACTATGTAAAGATTGGATTGGATTCTTATTGAGTATAGCTAAATACATTTAGCAAAGTTTAGCAAAGTGTTAGCAAAGTTGTCTACTCACTAATTTTTGATAATAGTTAATGTAATCGAAACAATGCATGTGTTCAGTGGTCCATTAGTACCGCAGTGGTATACATAGTGTTGCTTTAAGAAGAAAGTTCTAAAGTAAACTGTAAACAAAAGAAAGGGAATATCCTCCTTTAAATAAAACAGCTGGGACTGTTAGCTCGTTTGTCAGCGTTACTAAATGACATCTCCTACGGTGTCAGCTCTGTCAGCAGATAAACCCAATGACCATTACAGCAACAGATGCAGTGGGTCAATAAATATGACATGGACACTACATCTCCATGAAGGGAGGGGAATACATGAGTCAGATACACTCTCTCTCTCTGCCTGCTGGGTTTTTCTAGATGTTTCTCCATGGCTGTCTTTGTGTATCTCCTTAACGACAATACAGTAAAGACAGCATATGTATTTTCGGTTGTCTAGTCACTGTAAAGCCTGGTTATAGTTGCTGACAACATACAGTCAGCAAAGACAGAGCCTGAAAGGATTTGGATTTTTGTAATCTTTCCAGTTTTGCATTTCTGATTGTCTGTGCAGAAGGTCTGCAGGTAGGTGAGCATATATTCATTATTGTTTTGTTTTTAACCAGCTGGACCAACGGGTACAAGGAGTGGATGTGGAAAATCCCACCACAACATCAGATCACAGCAGAGTCTGCTAAATCAACGAGGCCCACCAGTAGTGTCCCAGTGGGGAATCCCTTACATGGCTGAACTGGAAGAACATCGAACCAGAATGTTTAAGTCACAAGCACTCAACACTTTTTTCCCTTGCCAGCAAATACGCCCGTGTCCTGTTTTGGATTACCTCTACTCTAATGCATTCTACATATTAATGGATCTCCTTGTTTTAGGGTAGGTTATACAATAAACATATTCTCTGACATTTATAATTCTAGGACAAGTGGTCGTACCTCCATGTCATTGCAGAAAGTGGCATTGGTTCCAAACAGGATCTGGCACTGTTCATCCACACTGTAGTGCATGCCTGGCAGCTTTGGAGGAAGCCGGACCTGGTACCGGCTCCTGGGGTCTGTGTGCAGCAGGCAGGCACTGGCTTTGGACCTGTGTGAAAAGCACACAAGAGAAGGATTCATTCTGCGTGCTTACCAGTGAACTGTTTTATTTCCAAGACTTTTTGTGGTCAAATCTGAATCCAAACTCCAAAAAAGACTTGGTGTTCACTGCGGGTGAAGATTTGAACAATGTTAGTTGTTATTTTGAAAGCACTGATGGTGACACCAGTGATATACAGTGTGAGCCAAACTGAGATTCCTTTGTGTGTGATGTCTATCTGCTGTTTGTGTAGTTTCCCAGGGATGATGGGACTTGTCCAGCAGAATGCATTTATCTCATTCTGCAGAAATGCAGTTAAAGATTGGGTCCAGTCAAGTGAGCACAGGCAGACGTTCCCCTTAGGCAAGGTGGACAACGGCCTGGAGCCACCAAATAAGAGGGGCCCCAGTTTCTTTAAATATACTTTTGTATAATGTTTAGATACACATATACATATTCTGTACATTGGGCATTTGACGACGTGAAAATTTAATTGCAATACATGATATCACAAATATACCCTGTTCTGTATTTCCACACATCAGGTTTAAGTTTTTTTTGTGGGGGATGCAACAGGTAAGCAGAGTCTTCAGCCATGGTGACAGGGTTAGGATTTTAAAATGACTAGAAAGATGTGGATTCCCCTTTGTCCCCTTGTTCAAAATAAATCAGGGAATCAATATAGGACTGTTTGCTGGAGAGCTAGACAGCTTTTTCAAGTCAAGAAATGTGAGGATATTCACAATTATCCCAATTCACGTAGTATCACGATAATGTTTTTTATTGCGATACCCAATAATATTGTATATCGTCCCATCCCTACAGTGTATATTATAATAATAACAATAATAATAATAATAATAATAATACATTTTATTTATAGAGTGCTTTTCAAGAAACTCAAAGACACTACACATAAGTTAAAAAAGGTAATAAAAACAACACACACAAAAAAATAGCTACAATTCTACAACACTCAACAATGAATTAAACATTAACATTTAATGTTTAATTCATATATAAAATTATGTTTTTAGTTATATAATCTGCAATAACTTAAACACTTCCTTAATTATTGGTCGAGGCAGACGACCACCCACCTAGAGCCGAAGGGTCTGTCCTAGGAAGTTTTTTCTTGCCCCTGTCGCCAAGTGCTTGCTCATGGTGCGAACTGTTGGGTCTCTGTAAATAATGTTATAAGGAGTTCCGTCTAGACCTGCTCTATTTGAAAAGTGTCCTGAGATAACTTCTGTCATGAATTGGCGCTATACAAATAAAATTGAATTGAACTGAATTGAATTAATCTCTGTCAATGCTCCCACCTCCACAGCACCTTCACCTGGACAATTCCATCCCTACACGAGCCAATGAAACAACTGAACACCTTTGGTGCCAAGTACACTGACTGTCCTGTGTTCTAGTCATTCTATACAACAGGGCCTCCCAACCTTTTTCCTTTAGTGACGCATTTTTCTATCACTGAGTAAACTGACTCAGTGACATATTTTATGGATCATATTATATTCAATGCAAAACAATAACAGTAGAGATAAACTGTACAGTAAACCTGTGAATATTGCATCAAAGATGAGTTTTCCTGATATTTTTAGGAACTTTTGATACAATTTTCTCTCTTTACTATGTTTGCTTTTTAAACAATACATACATACATACTTAATAGTTCTTCTTTTTGACAAACAAATGTACTCCCTGATGCTTGACCATTGTTCTATTAGGCTATAGTTTGTGTTCCAGACCTCACCATGCCCTTATTCTGTGACATACTGTGTATATTCTTACACCCCTTAAAATCAAGAAGGCCTTGCAACCCCTGAAGCTTTGATTGCCCCTAGCGGGGGTCCAGACCCCCAGGTTGGCAACCACTGCTATACAGCATCAATCAAGGTTAGGGTTAGTGCAATAATCAAGAATGTTGCAAACCCACTATGTATCCACCACTTCCATCCGACCTACCCAGCCTGTACCAGTTTTTTTGTTATTCATTTTATTTTATTTATTTATTTATTTATTTATTTTGACAGGACAGTAGACAGGGACAGGGGATCCCAGACAGCAATGGTCCTCGGTCCAGGATTGAACCCGGGGCCGCTGTGCTATGGACTCATGGAGCATTGACACATGGTCTACACTCTACCAGGTGAGCGTCCAGGGAGTAACTACAGTTACTCTAGTTTTTAATCATAAAAAAAATAAATAAAAAAAAACATTATTAACCTCTCTTAAAGTTGCCCGTAGGTGTAAATGTATGTATGGACGTTAAAGGAAAAAAAAGAAATGTCAAACAAGCCTAATAAATCCGACAACCACTCACGCTCCCTAAATCTTCAATTTACATGCCAACTACAACAGAGAGCAGGTGAGTGAGCAGTGTAGTTCAAACAGCAAGATTTTATAACTTGTGTAACTGTGACTTCATTTACCGAGGGGAGTCAATCTGCTGTCTTACTGCAGAGCAACAGACACTGTGACCCACTGCAGGCTGCTATTAACAGGTAGTGCCTTCTAAATGAGGACACCACTTGTTGTTACTCAACACTGACTCACTAAATGAGTGAAGAACACATTTGACTTGTAATTAATCTGTAAATTAAGATCTGAGAGTGTGCAGGGACAGATTCGCAAATATAAAACAGGTGTTTTAGCATAACTCCTGATTTTACATTCACTCAGCTGGAAACTGGCCCTTGTGATGTTCTTTAGATGTCTGTCAGATACTAAACATGTGATACCCCACCCATATCTGCCTGCCAGGCTCTCAGCTTTTTTCAGTTTTAGCCTTTTAGTTGAATGGCCAGTGGCCAGACGTTAATCAGAAGTTGGAGTCTAACAGGAGGATGCTTCACTTCAAGGTTCAATCCAGTGGAGAATACTTTTTCTTAAAGACTTTTACTTTTAGTACTTTAAAAACATTCAGCCGCTAATACTTTTGTACTTAAGCCCATCTGAAATCACATTCACAGTCATGCATGTAAAATGCTGAAATTGTCTTTTATTTAAATGAAGATTTTAAGTATTTTATGAGGTTCAACCTATTGAACCTATTGTCAATGTCTTGACACATTTATTATAATTGTTAAATTATGTAAACCTGCTTTTAGAATTATATTCCCCTGTATCACAGTAATATCCAATCTGTCATTACTTTGTACTACAATTGGCTCAGCTAATAAAACACAGATGAAGTCAGTAAGAGTTCCCAGAGGAGAATACAAATATTCCAATCATTTTGATTCCTTACACTGAAATCCTGAAATCGTGTAGCATACAGGATTTACAGACACTGAAGCCGCAGTAGCTGTAGACGAAAATCTGAGAAAAGCGAGGAGAGCTCAGTTTGCCCTGGGTTTTTGGTTGGATTTTGTAGTTACTGCAAAAATCCTGCAAAGGTTTTTTCTCTAAGATAGAGCAAAATTGAACTGAAAATAAAACAGACATTTAAAAGTTCAGTTTCAGTCATAACTCAATTTTGACCAAAACTGTAGTTACTGCATTTTGACTTCATATAACATACTATTTAAATATCAGAAATTCTCCTGTTGGCGGCTGGGGGGTGTGCTGATATCGTGTTTGATTGACAGAGGCTGGCAGGCTGAGCCTCAGGACTGGAGTCAGAGGAGCTTGAGGCAAAGTAGACAAACTGTGCTATAGCAGACAGTGTGTTGTTAGCTGTGGTATTGAGGAATAAGGACAACACCAGCATCTAAAGGGACCAAAGTAATGTGACATTTGCAGGTACATTAACATTCTGTTTAATGGAGGTTGGTAAATCCAACTCTCTCGAATGTGAGGACTATAAAAGCATGTTACTGGTGGTAGGCAAGCTGTCAGATGGCTCACTCTTACAGACTGGACCTTCTTCCTGCAGGTGAGTTGGGAGAGCACATCATAGTGTTTTGAACTTGCAAACTACATTGTGTATTGCGGGTAGGCAGGTAGCTGAAATGTTAAAATATTCCTACAACATTTTTCCTGTGGGTATAAACGCTATGGTAGAATGTTTTAAATGTTACAGCATTTCAGGAACATTTTAGTGGGTAGTTTTTAAAGAGTGCCTCGAACATTTAATCTGAGGTTATAACAGCATTACTGTAAAACAATACAAATGTTACATTCTTAAAACATTTCATGACGAAAACCTTCTGCTAACAGTCCTATAAGGTTAAAAATTTTACTGTGTTTTGTTCCTTTCTGAGTTCGGAAAACATTTGCAAACATTTGTCACACTTTTTTTTAATCACAGCATCCATTTTGACATAATATTTCATCTCAACACAGCTGTTACCAATGATACTAGTTAAGGTTCCATTCAGTGCAGCAAAGCCTTTCCATTGAGCCAACATGCACAATAATAATACATTCTGGGATTGATTTTTTGTTTTTGTTTTTGAGCTCTAAAAGCTTTGGACCAACATAGCAAACTCACCGCTTGCACACATCTCCCAGCTGACACCTGACCTACCTAATAGAATATGCTAAAGGGAGTGAGTGGACTTATCTTATTCAGTACAGATTGTATATTGAGTACAATGTCCAATCTGTCAATCTAATGAATTGAGCCAAACTTAGTTTTGTTAGTAACCATGTGTCTAATTTAACATATGCTGAAGTGTACTGGTTGAGCCTGGAAATATAGGTTTCAGGCACTGGTTTTGCTTTTTCATAGTTTATTTGCCACCTTATTTCAAATAAAACATCCTTTCAATTTAAAGTGCTAAATTACATTTTTAACATGTTTCTATTAAATACATGCAGAAATCCCTGTCAGGGGTGATGCAAGAAGAGCAATAGTAGAACTAAGCACCCAGCCAATGTAGGGAGGGAATTTCTCTGTAAATAGTGTGGAACAGATTCCTGGCCAGATAGATGTCCAAACGGCTATTTTTGAGCAGAAAAGTTAACTCACTTGAACTTGCAGTGTATCTGCTGGCTGCTGCAGAGTGTTTGTTTCAAAGAAATGAAATGAAAAGTGAATCCTGCCGACATGCTCAATGATTGCTGACTCCAGCGTAATACCTCCAGTCTATGTAGGTACTATGAGATCAGTCCCTGGGGCTGTTTTGCTGATCTGATCCTTTTGCCCCCCACCCCCCTTTATTAATGAAGTGATCAGGGAATAAACATTCAATAACAACAGTTCTACATGGTCAGGGGACGTAGAAAATTAAAAAAAGACATAGTAAATTATTCAAATTACGTTAAAATCAAATGCTTTATTGCTGACTCTTTTGGGGTTTTTTCAACATCAACTTTTGTGTTCCAAGTATTTGTTCTATGACCAGTTGTAATGCAGCAAAACGTAATTTCTGAGGTCCTGGCAAGAGTTAGGGCTAAGGTGTGACTTGATGTTAGGTTGAAGTTGCAGCATGAATTGGTTAGGGTTAGGGTTAGGAATGTCCTAACAAGGATAGCAGTGTGTTTATGCATGTAGTCACATTAACTATTCCGTTCAATTCGCAAATTCAATGAGATGCTGGAGTGGCCTTTGTTGGGCAGAGCAGGACTGAGTTACATTTTCCATTCCTCCACCATTATGCTATAGTTAAAAAGGCCACCATGGGCTCACAGTGGTGCAGCTTATACCGGCCCCACAGAGAGCCCTGGCAACACGCTGACACTGTCGGCACACTTGGCAGTCCAGCTGGGTGGGTGTATATAACAGAGAGAGAGAAAGACAGAGAGAGAGCAAGGGAGATGTCCTCCCTACTTTTTCGGTAGCCATTCTACCGATAATCTAACAATGGGTCCAATGCTTATTTTACATTAGATGGCAAATTCTGCATAGCTGATGTAACACCAGCATACGCCGGGACAGTAACCAAATGGACACACTCATGCTGCTAGTCTCAGACAGTGTGACTAGAGAATACCACAGCATGTGATGTTCAGTAGGGTTATTATGGATTAAATAAACAGTGTTTTCTGATGTATATTAACCATTCTCTGACAGTATGGTAAAACAATGTTTCTTTTAAGTGGCTGGGAATAGGATAAAAGCATGCACAAATACAGAAAATGGTATTTAAATCCTTTTTTGGATGGAGGACCCCCAGATCATTGTTTACTGTGTCCCCCAACTTTTGAAATCAGCGTTCCACCCTTGCAGTCACAGTTTCTGTCTGCGGTTGCTCTAACCAATAGGATCTAGCTAACCCCGCTAACACTAATAATTTAATCTCACAAGATAGCCTAGCTAGTTTGGCGGCTAGGTATAGGTAGCATGTGCAGCCTTTAGTTTACTTACGGTTTAAAAGGTAAAGATGTGTAGTGACTGTGTCTGTGCTTATTTGCAGCAGCAGCTTAAGCTACGGCAGTTAACTGTTTTAATGTAGTGTGTCCTATAGTACCTAACTTTTGCACCCGCAGATTAAACTATTTGCAATTATTAGCAGTTGTTGAGCTCGCTAGCTTTTTACACTACATGATTTTAGCCTCGATTTTCCGCCTGCCATTTTTGAACATTGGCTGCAAATTCAGATCCCAGATCAGAGGCAAATCTGTGCTTCCTTTCGTGAGGACGATCACTCTGTTCAAAGACGTGTTCAGAGGGCTCGCCGGTGCCTCGCAGACACCTAAAAAGTATCTAGTGGGCTAAATATCTGGAGCCATGCAACAAGCTATGGCCTGTTTAGGCTAATTATAAGCTACTCGGGTTCTAATGGCAGTATGGTTTCTCTTTGTGTGTTTAAACTACTTAATCAAACCACTCCTGGTAATGACTCCTGATGAAACACAGATAGTAGACCAGACAGACTTCGGGATTAATCCGCGTTTACATCTTGTAGAGTGTGACCCCCTGGTATTGATCACTTAGAGTGCAAACCACAATAACTCCAAGACTCTGGTGACTGTTTGCAATATTAATATTATTGTCAAGAAAAGTGACTTGACACTGCCCACAACAGAGAGGGGAAGCAGAGACCAACATTTTAATACAGCATGCGAGTAAAAATGTCTTTAAGATCAACCTCAGGTGCACCTAGCTGTGTCTCACCTTAGGAAGTTCTCCAGGTCATCGCGGCTGCAGGAGGACCACGACAGGTCGCTGGGGTTTCTTCCTTTTACCCACTCACCAGACATGATGTGAGAGTGACCAGTGCAGGTGGCGTGGTCGTCATCATGGCTCATTCCCATGCTGCAGACAAGACATGGATAAATAGACACTGTGTCAAAGAGTAGTAGAGTTGAACGTCAAGCAGCCATTGCCTCAGTACTTGTCGATACTTTCAAGCATCCTTTCTGTAGATATATGGCTATGGTGAGATCAGTATATACAAGCTGTGACTAAGGTGTGTGTTTTCATCAAATTCTCCTCCACTCCAGCTTTGTTTTATGTGTCATTACATTCTCCTACATTGTTTCTCTGCTTAGACAGCCTAAAATGTTTATATTAGGGCTGTACCCAATCTCCTTTCTTCATCATCTGTGATGTAAAAAACATCAGATTCCCAGCCAGTCAGAGAAAGTAAAAGTGTCCTGCTCATAGTTCAGTTCAGTTATAAGATCCAAGTGCACCACTGAGCGTCTCTGGTGCAGGGCTGCTGACAGCGCTGTCAGCCCAAGAGTCAACCACAGTGGACAGCAGGTGAGGAGGTTGGACCAATGTCTGCTTCAAAAGGTGTAGCTGACTTCACTGAGAGAAGATGACTCCAATCATTGACTTTCGGGTGCAGCCAAAATTATGATCATGTCTCAGCTCCTAGACTGTTGTATCCACATACCACCACTTCCTGGTGAATCTAGGTCCACACCTTAACTTTATTTTTTTCTCCACCGGCATTGCGTTAAGACCCGCCCTACTCTGCTTTTGATTGGTGAGTGTTTATTGCTTTAGTTGGTTTGGTTGGGTAGGTTTAGGCATGAAGAGTGAGATGGTTAGAGTTAGAAAAAAATGTCAGGGTCAGAGCCAATCAGAGGCAGAGTAGGTGTGGATCTTCGTGGAATAAAAAATAACGCCCCCGTTGCTGCGTCTTTGTGTAACTACATTGCTAGTTTAACACTGCAAAAATGGGTTGTGCTGAATTAAGGTATTAGCAAATTTGTACAAATTCAGGACCACACCACCCTGATGAAGATAAGATATTTGTGAGGTGAACAAAGCATTATTTAAAAGCATATCTAGCATGTGTATGTATTAGTGTGTATGTGTATGTGTATGTATTAGTGAGTACACATTTTGCTAGAGTAATTTACTTATGGATATCTTATTATGGTGCTAGGCGACTTTTGGTAAAATCGTGGCTACAGCTACATTTGTGATCACCTCAGTGGATCCCTGGGTAAACTAAAGATAATTGTACTTATACTGTACATTTGGATTCTGCTTGAAAGCAACAACGTGGACATATACATATATAGTACTGAAAGAAAATGGATATTTTAAACAGTGTCTAAAAAATCCAGATTTTCATTTGAGAATTGTTCTTAAGCAACTGGGACTGTAAGCACAGAGCTGCAGGACACACACTTACAACACAATGAAAAACCAATACTGTGCAGTGTAGTCCCTTCAACCAGCAGCACATCTTACAGTAACACACCTGCAACATATTGATGGAGCAGAGCCTGAGGGAAACTCTGACAGGAAGGATCTCTTACCCACAGTGGATCTGTGCACACACAATGCATGTCTGTGTGTGAGTCACAAATAGAGATCAACAGAGGATGGAGTGTGTGTCGAAACAGGGAGGACTTCACTTGGGCACAGTAACGTGTGTGTGTGTGTGTGTGTGTGTGTGTGTGTGTGTGTGTGTGTGTGTGTGTGTGTGTGTGTGTTTCCACCCAAAGCCATGACCTACATTTGCAAATTAAAAACAACATCCTAGTCTGAACTCCAGGCACAGACTCAGAAACTAATAAATTACAAGTGCAGACTCTTTTCCCCTGGTTGAAATGAAAGCAGTATAGAATTACATTTCAGGACTCATCCACTGCACAGGATAATGCAGTGCCTTCAAAGCAGAGGGAATAGATCAGTGTCTGAGAACCGTCCAACTGGGCCAGGACCATTCAAGCCAGAACAGATAAGCCACATTATCTTAAACACTCCAGTAGACATTAGTGTTTATCTTCTCTTTCTAGATAAGACATTAAATGGCTTGATTATTATAGTACATAAAGCAAAACACATCCACTACAGAACATCATGTCTGCATTAAGATAAAATTGAACATGAAAACGTCATGTAGCTAGGGATATAACCAAATACGTATTCATCAGAGTTTCCACTATATTCATATCAATAGTCACTGCTATACCAATCCTTGTGCAAAAGCTTGACTCATTTCTCAATTTATTAGCCTGGTTTGGAACAAACAAACTCTGGTTCATTTGCCTTTTTCAGTCCAGTTAAATTTGGGATCAATCTGCATTGTGAACTCTGCAGGCTACATGTACACTCCAACAAATTCATACATGTACAAGGATGTCAAGGATACAAAAAAGTTAGAAGAATACTTTTTTCCAGTGTGGTCATCTTTCCAGGATGAAGAGATGGTAACGCAAGTCACAGATGACTAAGACACTGAACCAACACAAGGCCACATTAAAAAAACAATACATCTTTCCCTATAAAAATAAACTGCACGGTTAACATCATCATACTCATTGTCTATATATGCATAGGCCACACTTATTCCACACCAATTCCATTGATAAATAAACAGACGCCTCAACCGGCACCCCCACATCCAATAAAGAGGCCACTCCCATCTTAGAGTGTAGAAACCTCTCTAGGTCAAATTTCCCACATGCATAACCCTGACCCTAACCTCTGATAGGACTCATTGATTTGATCTCTACTGGAAGTTTGCTCCACTCTACCGTGGCCATGTACAGAAAGGTATTATGGAAGTTACCTCATAATAAGCGATCTGAAAAGGTGGTGTTTCATTTTCTGCAAGAAAAATCTGTAACCATGGTAACACAAATGCGCATCACATTTTCACAACAGAAAGGTTAAAATAGTTCAAACTGTTGTGTTTCCAACTACTGTACTTTGGTGTCTTCCCACAGAAATCCCTTCCCGTAATACGATGCCTCTGGTCCCGTTACCAGCGGTTTGTCATCATTTATAACAGCCCAATAATATGCTATTAACAATGCCCATCAGTTATTTAACAGTTAACTCTGATCCCAGAGAACATAAATAAACACGTTAGTGGACCACAGGATGACGGCAGAACAAAAAGGCAATTTAGTTTCTTCTTTGGTCCAGACCAAATGAGCAAGTGTAGTTGTTTGTGGTGTGAAAAGCAAATTAGATATGAGAGTAGAGTAGATATGTGATGTTAGATAAGATATTGACATTCATATTGATCATTGGAGGAAAAAAAAGGGATAATTACAGAAGATAAAAAGTGTCATCCTAGAAGTGCTCGTCTCTGACTGGATTTGTGGGTTCAGCCTGGGGAGTGTCTACTACTGATTGGTCCATTCACGACATCCTTCCTTTCAAAACTGCCCGGGTTTGACAGCAGCACCTTGGTTCTATTAATGGCCTCTAAACCCTTTTGCAGTTACTGTGTGTGTTAGGACTGTGAGATATTACAGGGCTCGGAGCCCAAGCTGGTTAGCTGTAAGTGTTGGTGTAAATTTTGTGAGTACAATAATCCACATTTTGTAAATAGCACTGAGGTTGTAGGGGTGAGCTGCCATTTTCTTTTACACCGTTTTTTCCTCATAGGGAGTTTAGTAAATGTATTTTTGTTTGTTTGCTTCACTCGGGGTTAGTCAGCACTTTTTAACGAGCTTTTAACTTTTATGTTGCACTTATACCCCCCTTGATTGGGGGGCGGGGGGGTCTAAGTAAAATATACTGTGACAAATATTGTACAAGCACCTTAGTGCTTTAATTACTACTTGACGCACAAGACAATAATTCCTTATTGTGCGTGTGTGGAGGTGCCAGTATGTGTGCTTAGGTAACACTGCTTCCATAAAGTGCATGGGCAGCAGTCAGACACAGTGTGTGCCAGCTTGTTACCTTTCCTGGCCCCCAAAGCTGGAGCAGAGCTGCTCGATGAAAACTGTGATAACTCCTGAGGGGCCTGGCACAGGCACAAAGCTGCCACAAAGGTTCATACACTGAAGCTGGCATTAGCTCTGTGTAGCTGGGCTGTCAATGAGGGCTTTATGTGTGGACTGAATGTTTCCAACTATAACAGACATCTTGCTGCCATACAGAGTAAGGAAATAATCAGTTGAGATCCGCTCACATGGTTGTCCCAGTCCCTTTGTTTGCCCACACTGCAAGGATTTTAATATTGGGTATCTGCCTCCAGAACCCATCTTTATAAATAAATAAAATAAAATTTAAGAGTTTAGATTCCTTTAGAATTTCTAACCTTAAATGGTAAAGCAATAGCACTAACTTTATGTGTTATTGTTCTGTTTGGTTGTTTGTTTGAGCTATTTTCTCTACTACTCTCTCTCTCTACATGTAATACACATGCTGGTCTACGTTGGCAGTGTCACGTTTTGTCTCGCGTAGGTGCCAGCTTAGCAATAACAAATATGCAACATCTGGTTCCATTTTCAAAATAAAGCTTGCAGATGTTGCAGTTTGGTTAGATTTAGGCAAAAACACTACTTGGGTAGGTTTAGGAAAAGATTGTAAGTTACGTTATATACCTGATGTTAGTTACGCAAGTTAATTTGCATACGTAACTTAAACTAAGTCAACACTGACCTTTGGTTTCACACAGGACTCGAACAGTGGTCTCCTGTGCTTGTGTGACCCATCTATTCACCCCTTCATCCTCCATACACAGATTTTCTTCCTTGTTATATTAAACCTTCATAGACATGTGTACTTTTCACATCTAGATGAGGCAAAACGTAACACTGACACAGTATCCGGCAAGACTACACACTTTGGCCTGAGACTGGGCTGGAAATGGACTACTTCCCATCTCTTTCTTCATTTTTAAAACGTCACCAAATCTGGTTAACGTGAGTGATTATTTTCACCCTTTGATGAAATGTTTTCTGGTAAAAGGATAGATTATTTTAAATCTGAGGAGTTTAAAATAAATACATTTAAATTTGGCTCTTGAATGGTAAACCTTCGGCACATAGTTTATTATGGAGCAGGGAAGTTATAAACATGCTAATCCATTCAGAAACATGGGTTAACATTGGTACTGCTTTCTCAAACAAGCGCAATGTGTAGTAGACAATAATGCTGAGAAGATATATAGGATACTAGTGATGTTACTGCTCCTTCAACCCATCGTTGATCACATGATGAGGTGGTTGTATATGGGTTGGACAATGTAACACCTTCCTCACATCTGACAAAATCAACTTTCAACTGAGACAGGGGTTACAAGCTTCCTCCCATATATGATCACTTGTCATCACATGAGCAACATGACGACACCTGAGCCAGTTCCATTTGCTGATGAAGACCATGAGAGGCAGTTATAGGCTCTGAAAAAGTTAGCGAGTGGACCTTTAGTGACGTAAACGGAGATGACCAGAAGCAAATTTACTCTAGGTCACCACGAGGGAATATTTCATTTGTGATCATTCCAAGTATTATATACAGAGAGAAGACAGAAAAGGCAGAGGGTCTGGATGAATAGAAGAGAAGCTGGGGTTCCTGGTAACTTTGGAAATCAGTCTGTCTGATGTGTCACGCCAAGAGCCAGTGCTTGTTGTCACAGCAAACATCAGTCAGGGAACTCGTCCCCTGACTGTTTGTGGACAAAAGACACAGAAAAGCTCTCCAGCACAGAGTGTATCCAAATACAGTTTGCTTGTTATCCTTGAGTGAGACTTTCCACCTTCACTCCATACTTACAGAGCCATAGGTTTTGGAGAGCTGGGTCTGTTTGAACTGTGGGCATGGTGGAGGTGGAACAAGGTCTGTACTGAACTCTACATTGGACATAATTCCACCCAAATATATTGCCAATTTTAACTGAATTTCGAGTAAGTCAGAAAAAGGAAATGTGGGTGAACACTTGTTACCATCCATGATCATTATGTGATTATTAGGAAAGACAAGCAGTAGGCAGCAGCAAGTCTCTAATCAAAAATCAGAAAAAGAGGGCACAACAAGACGACTCAATTACACCTCAAACAGTGAAAAACAATGCAGAAAACAGGATGGAAATATGACATCTCTGTTTCATGTATTAACGTGAGGAAGGTTCTATCAGATCTGTGTGCAGTGATCATGAATGTATTATAGAGCCATGGGAGATGAGGAGCCTGGCAGGGTGGAAACAGCCCATCAGTCACGTGAGTAAAATGTTTGCTACGTCAGAACCATTTTCACCAGAACTGTAAAGCCAATAGTTTTATCGTTGACAGGTTACGGAAGCTTTTGATTAGAATAATGTCTTTGCCTTGTCACTCTAAACTCTATACATGTACACTTTGACAGTGTCCTCACAACAGCAACACAACGCGTTGTCGAAATGCACGTGTTGTGCAACTTGAGCGCAACTTGAGCGCAGTGAAACCTACTTGTGTCCCAGCTCGTGAGCGATGGTGAAGGCCAGATTGAGTCCATTGTCCTCCGCTAACACACACTTCCTCTTGGCACTGCAGACACCACCCAGATAAGCAATACCTGTAACACAGTGACATGACATGACAGTGAGTTTCATAAATAAGTAATGCATTGTTAATACACCAAATAAGGAAAGTTTTCAGGTTATATGGACTATATGGGCTCTGACCTGAAAAAACACATACAAAATGTATTGTTTCTAGCAGGGTTGACTACTGCAATGGTCTTTTGACAGGACTCTCCAAAAAGACCATCAAAAAGCTTCAGCTTTTTCAAAATTCAGTTCATAAAAGTGCAACTCTTTGTAATAGCCACTACAATGTGTGATAATTTAGTACAGAATGTGGAAAATGTATTACATATTCAGGCTGTTTATTACAAAATGTGTCTGTCATTACATATTGAATAAAAAAAAAGATTACATTTTGTTGAGTTATTACATAATGTACAAGGATAAACAAAACACCTGTGAAATTAAGTTCTGGATTAGACAGCGAAACTATTGGGTCTGAGACATCAGCCATCACTGGACTCGAGTACTGCTGGCAAACAGACATATCTTAAAGCAGATTGACTGCTTAAGTATATATGAGTGGCCAAAAATGTTTAAAAAACAACCAATCAGCCTTTCACACAGGCATGCTGTGAGGTGAAAGTTACAGATCCTCCATGTGTCAGAACGAACACACACACTCACACTCACACACTTTCTGTCTGCCTCTGGAGCCAGGCCACAGAGGCTCATTTGAATCCAGACAGGCATAAATTAAAACATTGACAAGTATAAGAAGTAGAGATTTTTAAAAAAGAAATAGAGAAGAACAGAAGACAGCGAGATCAAGTTTTGGCCTTATTAGCCAACACAGCAAACACATATTACTTTACTGGTGCATGACTTGAATAAAGGCCCAGGATTCACGACTGTGTTTCCTTTGACCAGCTCTGTTCTATCACAACAGCTGGAGAAGCTCCAATGGCTGTTGGCCCATTAGATAAAGTGGAGCAATAAATTCACAAAGTTAAGATCATATAAAATTGAGGTTTAATGGGAGCTTTCCTGTTGTGTAAGAAATCTGCCACAGTCTGGATCTTTGTCAAGCTCCAGTGACTGTAAACGGTCTAAATATACAGCTGGCAGAGAGGGTTGCTGTTATTACTGTATATCAGTTCAGTAATGGTAAGAGGTCCATATGTCTCCATTAGTTTACTGCAGACTATATACAGGGCTTTTCCCATATATTATGAGGCTAGCAGAAAAAGCCTGTTTACCTGTTCACACCTAGTATGCCAATCTGTAATTAAACTTTAAACAGCTCTCTGTTGTTCTGCTGGCCTAGCATTACCACAGCTACCTGCACTGTCCCCACAGGGCAGTAACCCATTCAGAAGATAGATTCACTTTCCTATTCACTAAAATACTGTTCACTGTCTGGCTTTAGCTTGAAAGGAGAAGCTAAACGCTACAAGTTTTATTCAATATAGCCACTGTTCAACCAACTGACACTGAGCACTTTGAGAAAATAATTGAGAAGTTTAAAAAAAAGGGTTGATTTGTATTTTTATATCAAAATCCAATATTTTTTACTTCCTGTAAAACAAAATGTAACGTGTGCTTACACATGCACTAACCGATTCAAACAATGATATCATGACATCCATCCATCAATCAATCTTAAACTTGGAAATTGATTGGATGCTCATTCAGTTAACATTAGCTGTACAGCTTACTAATGGGTCCACTACAGCTGCTGGACTGGGGGGCATAACACAAAGCGCCATTGGCTACTGCGAGTCCTCCCTAGCTGCTCTAGCTTTTTAATAGAAATATGTAAATATGCGGAAGCAAACAGCATTTCCGAATAAAAAAAAAATTATTAGAAAGTATTTTATATGCTGACACCCTCTTTTTTGCATGTACACACACCCAAACAAAAATAAAGCAAATGAAACATCGGAGTAAATGAATTCTGTTAAATGCTGTTGTATAGAAAAGATTGTAGTGCATTGTACTAAAACTCAACCATACAGCTTTACACACACACACACACACACACACACACACACACACACACACACACACACACACACACACACACACACACACACACACACACACACACACACACACACACACACACACACACACACACACACACACGTTGTATGGTATTGAAGAGATAATACAACAAGATTAAAAGACTTGGCTATCTCATGTACTGCCCATGAAATCTATTTTTAGACTGCCCCAAGACCCTGGACTCACACATTATTTATTCCACTCCTGTTTTAATGTCTCCACTCATTTTTTATTCCACTCACACTCCAGGCCAGGAGCAGTCTGAAATTTGTACAATAAAATGAAAAAAAAACATATTTTGCCGTTTATTACAGACAAAACTAGAGACCAGCAATCAGTCAGATTAGAGAGCGAGTTCATGTTTTAAAAAGAGCAAGAATGTGACATGTCGCATCTTTCTTTCTTTCTTTCTTTGTTTTATGTCGTGTCTCAACCAGCGCTGTAAAATTTACCAAAATAAAACATGCAATAAAATGAAATGTGTCAGCGAGAGTAATGTTAGCCTATTTCTAAACATGGTCATTATAACTTTCACAATAACCGGATTTGGGCAGAAATTGTATGACCATCTAATCAGGAGAGGATAGTGTGATTGGATTTTGAACTGAACCCCCCACACACACACACACCCCGAAAACATTTCATAGATTTCCTACTTTTGTACAGACAATGTTCTGGCAACCTCACTCTGACCACAACATTTAAAAGGTCCAGTGTGTAACATTGAGGAGGATCCATTGTCAGAAACTGAATAGAATATTCATAGATATGTTTTTATTAGTGTATAATCAGCTCGATATAAGAATCGTTTAGTCTCATTTCCTTAGAATGAGCTGTTTTTATCTACAGAGGGAGTGGGTCCTGTTCTACGGAACTTTCTACAGTAGCCCACAAGGGACACACCAAACACTTGCTGTTTTCTTAGCATTAAGCTAGCTACAATTTTAAACAGAGGCAGTTCCGCACTTGTTAAGGAGTACGTCACCGCCATTGTTGTATGCAGGGTTGTAGAAATACCTAGGTCCAATTATTCAATCAAATTATTGCTCGACTTTTGTGATAAATCTTTGGGAAAAAAGATGACCTCAATGGTGGTGATGCTCAATAAGAAGTAAGGGTACTCGTGTGGACAAAAATCAGAAGGTACTCAGTACTGGTGAGTACCGGCCCAATTCAGGCCCTGAGAAAGATCAACAAGGCGGTTTAGGTCAAATTTATTTTTATTTCTGTCATTGTTTTGGTCTGAGATGCTGGTGCTCTAGTACGACACCTAGTGGCAAGTTAATTTTTAATATATAACCTTTAAGTAACTCAATATAAAATAACAATTGTCATAATTTATTAACTGACAAGTGGGTGATATTGAACTTTTGTTTGATGGCACAGTCATTTCTGTAAATGCAGCTGAGGTCTCTCATACGTGCCATACAGCCACAGTATTATGCAGAATGGATCCATTTAGTAAAATCCAAACATGGTGGTTTTGGATTGGACTGGGCTCAGGCTAAAGCCCTATTCAATGGAAACATTTTGGGCTGATGAAAACAGATGTTGGCCTGGATATGGACATGTGTTTTTTTCCTCTTCACTGATTTGCCATTTTACAACCATGCATGCTTGGTCAGAAGCTGCAATTACACATGCTACAGGTCTATGCTCTGAGACAATTATAGGAGAGCAACCTTGATGTTTGTATGCAAATGAAGAAAGTCAGAAATATCAATTTTTCTGTTTTCACATGCGGAGAGGTTATGTTTAGCAGACTGTTTACATGGCTTCTTATGTTAGCAGGAGGATAGTGTGGTAATGAGATATACGAGCAGGGGAGAGATTGTGTAAAGGAACACCTGCTGAGTGCTGGACAAGAAGATTCATGGTGGAATAAGCTTTTTTTAATTACTTTCTTCTTCTAACCAATTATAAGTTGTTGTTCATAAACCACACTCTTCTGATAATGATCCCTATATTCAGCTTTTACTATTCAAAAGTCAGCTACACTGCTTGGACTGGATTTTGGGCTCATAGCACCTCTGCGTCTGCATGTCCAGACACATGTGTGAGCACCCCTTGTAAACTAGCCATGTTTTTGCTTGTAAACCCTGATTCAACATCTAACAATATGCAGTTCTTCCAAATGGCCCTATAATTGGAAAAAAAACAACTTTAATTGTCTGGATGTCTGTATTTCCACAAGTTTTGTCACAGCATGACAAACTGACTTAGATCTGCGTATGATGGAACAGAAGTGATTGTCAAGAATTCAGTATTCTTGAAATTGAAGCAGCAACGCAGAACTCTTGTGTTTATTCTGGCGTGGCAGGCATTAAGAAAAATGACTACTGTTTTGATGGTTCTGTTAAAAGGACCAGTGTGTAGGATTTAGTGGCATCTAGTGGTGTATTTGCAGATTGCAACTGCCTCTCTTCACCCTTCCCTTCCAAGCAGGAAGGAGAAACTACAGTGGCTACAAGAAATGTCACAAAAAACGATCCTATCTATAGCGAGTGTTTGGTTTGTCTGTACTGGGCTACTAGAGGTCCTGATGGTTCAACAGCCTCCATTGAAGGCAACCTGCGATGTCTGTAGATAAAAACAACCTATTCTATGAAAACACAATGATTCTAATATTCAGGTGATTATACACTAATGAAAACATACCTATGAATATTATATTCCATTTCTGACAATAGATCCTCCTAAATGTTGGACCTTTAAGGCAACTTGATTAAGGTTAGGGAAAGATGATGGTCTTGGTTAGTATTAGTACTAGAATAAGTCCATAGTGTTCACCTCTATATTTAAGCAAAACCACAATATTTTCCTAACCTTAACTAACTCCTATACAACTTCTTTACAGTAACAAATTACAGTGCTTCATGGACTGGAACAAACGTAGCCAGGAAATGTAATACATTTGTTTCCTCTAAGCTGTACCATATAGTAGGAAACTGGGTTGACTAACTGGGTCCAAAGGGTTAACAGC